AAACCCATCCATCCCCATCTCTTTTGAATTATGACGGTAGACAACTGGTCAGGTCCTCTAGATGACGCCAAACATGAAGGCCATGATCTGAGATCTTTCTTGCTCATAAGATGCTGAAAGTCCTTCTCAGGGCTCTACAAAAGGTCTACAACGAATCACGTTCTGGGTTATATAGCAGTGTTGCTATGATACAGCTGTAGTTTCATGTGGACACTCTATTGTATTGACCTACATTCGTAGTTTCTGAGTCTTTACAATATCTGGTTGGGAGGGAAGTCCTATCTAGGACGTGAAGTGTAATTGGCAGTAGAACATGTCGTTGTTCTATTAGGATTGTTAACATCCAGAACCTGACAATTTGCAGATATGGTGGGAAGCAAAAAAAAAACAAAAAACGATGTCGAGTCTAAAGGTAAATGCTTTTTTTTTAGTTTTGGATAGAGTGGGGAAGGGAAAGAACCTGCGCCAAATTTTTTTTGAGGTCTGTGTCCCTGCTGGAGAGAGTTACCACTCTGTTGCCATTGGTGACCATCGTCACTGAGGCAAAAAAGTGAGTGAAATGTTCTGGTAACCACCTAAAAGTAGTCTCTACATTTTGCGTTATGAGGGCCACAGCGTATATTTTTTATAAATATTTTGCAGGCCCAAAAAATGTGTTTTATAAAATGTCCTCCCATCAAAGAGTGCCCTTCTCGTATCAGGGATTGCCTATCAGAGCCCCCCCTTACATTCATATGTGCCCAGCAGAGTCCCCCTTACATGTGTAGAAGAGTCATGGCTGGCTGGTTGGCAGTGGATGCAATGGTCTCCATATTACGATACCCAGACCAGATATGTTTTACCCTGGACAGGGCAGCAGCTATATCAAGATCATGAAATCTATCCCCGGGCATCGGGCAGCAAGTGAAGGGGAACCTCCCCAATGGGGTACAAGCAGCAACAACTTATTCAAAACTATGTTGCAACCACATGGATTCTGGGGGAGGGGGAGCTCTGAACCACTGCAAAAACGCAACTCATAAGGGCCGTGTACACCTTCCCAATCAGGGTGCTGGCTACGGGCAAAACAAGGACCCAGGATTGAAGAATGTATCCTTCCCCAAGACTCCAAATAAGCCTCCAGGCTCCGGGACCCATTCCAGGACTAACTAATTCCAAAAGACTGAGCAACCAGTTCCCTTCATACTAGACATAGACCCAGGATCGGAGACTGTATCCCTCCCCCAAGTATCTACAAAGTCTCCATGCTCCAGGACCCATACCAGGGCTTGCTAATCCCAAAAGACTGAACGACTAGTTCCCTTTATACCAGACATAGACCCAGGATTGAAAAATGTATTCCTCCCAAATCTCTACAAAGCCTTTGGGCTCCGAGACCCATACCAGGACTAAATAATCCCAAAAGACTGAATGACCAGTTCCCTTTATACCAGACATAGACCCAGGATTGGAGAATGTATCCCTCCCAAGTCTCTACAAAGTCTCTGGGCTCCAGGACCCATACCAAGACTTACTAGTCCCAAAAGACTGAATGACCAGTTCCCTTTATACCAGACATAGACCCAGGATTGGAGACTGTATCCCTCCCAAGTCTCTACAAAGTCTTCGGGCTCCGGGAACCATCCCAAGACTTACTAGTCTCCATATCCCAAGTAATACATTTGTAGGGGTTTTAACCCTTCAACGCTCCACCAACTCCAACTGTACAAAATTTTAAAAACTTATTAAAAACTATGTTGCAACCACATGGACTCTGGGGGAGGGGGAGCTCTGAACCATTGCAAAAACGCAACTCATAAGGGCTGTGTACAAATTCCCAATCAGCGTGCTGGCTACGGGCAAAACAAGAACCCAGGATTAAAATGTGTATTCCTCCCAAGTCTCTACTAAGCCTTCGGGCTCCAGGACCCATACCAGGACTAACTAATCCCAAAAGACTGAATGATCAGTTCCATAAATACCAGACATAGACCCATGATTGGAAAATGTATCCCTCCCCAAGTCTCTACAAAGCCTTTTGAGCTCCAGGACCCATACCAGGACTAACTAATCCCAAAAGACTGAATGATCAGTTCCCTAAATACCAGACATAGACCCATGATTGGAAAATGTATCCCTCCCCAAGTATCTACAAAGTCTTCAGGCTCCAGGACCCATACCAGGGCTTGCTAATCTCAAAAGACTGAATGACCAGTTCCTTTTATACCAAACATAGACCCAGGATTGGAAAATGTATTCCTCCCAAGTCTCTACAAAGCCTCCAAGCTCTGGGAATCATGCCAAGACTTACTAGTCCCAAAAGACTGAATGACCAGTTCCCTTTATGCCAAACATGCACTCTGGAGCTCCTCAACCTGTATGGATGAGATTCCAGAGTGCCATTTAACCCTTCTTACTCCCCAGCAGTGACATGTCGGCGAAATAAAATCCTGTAGTGGGCCTGATATGGTCCACAGGTCATAGTTTGGAGAAATAAAATGCCATTTTCCCCCATGGTAGGGAGGAGAAGAGAACTCTCCATATCCCAAGTAATACATTTGTAGGGGTTTTAACCCTTCAACACTCTACCAAATCCAACTGTACAAATTAAAACAAAATGTGTTGGCTACATACTTTTACAAGGTTACATCATTTATAATAGTTTTATAATTCATAACAAATACAATGTATACAATATATTGCATCCGATGTATAATTACTCCTTTGCCTCTGATCTTCTATGCCAGTGACGGAGAGCCACGGGGAGGTGGAGATAAAGCTGGACCTGAATTGCAGCCACTGTGAGATAGACGAATGTTACATCGATCCAGAGTCTCAGGAGCTGATGTGTCACTGTGAGCTGGGGAGGGTCCTGGCTGAGGATGGAGTGACCTGTTTAGGTAAGACGGTCAGCTGCTTGCTGTAGAGCATTATGTTCCTCCTCATTGCCATCGGCAGTGACGAAGGACATTTTAGGAGCAGTGTGAGGAATTCCAGTCCATGTTGCTTAATTGAAGGTATCTTGCTTGCTTCCTGGTGCTTATTTTATAGAGTGGAGTTACCAGTCCTTGGTGTCCACAGTCACAGCTCCAAGAAAAGTTGAAGTGGTTCAGTGGCTACTGGAAGGTTTTTGAGATCCAAGGAAGGTATACTGCCAAGTACCTGCTGAGCAATGTTAGTTTTGCAAAATAGGTGGCTCAGACTCAAGACTGCTAACTAACTGCTCAGTTACCTCTGTAGAAAGTAGTGTGACCAATGGCTGGTGCTTTGATGAAAATATACACCGATCAGTCAAAACCTTCTGACCACTAACTGGTAAAGTGAATAGCATTGATTATCTCATTACATTGGCACCTAGAAGGGTGTGGGATATACATTCACCGGCCACTTTATTAGGTCCACCTTGCTATTACCAGGTTGGACCCCCTTTTGCCTTCAGAACTGCCTTTGTTCTTCGTGGCATAGACTCAACAAGGTGTTGGAAACGTTCCTCAGAGATTTTGGTCCATATTGACATGAGTTACCGTTGCCTTTCTATCATCTGGAACCAGTCTGCCCATTCTCCTCTGACCTCTACAAGACATTGTCCTCCACACAACGGCCTCTCACTGGCTATTTTCTCTATTTCGGACCACTCTCTGTAAACCCTAGAGATGGTCGTGTGTAAAAATCCCAGTAGATCAGCAGTTTTTGAAATACTCAGACCAGCCCGTCTGGCACCAACAACCATGCCACGTTCAAAGGCACTTAAATCCCCTTTCTTCCCCATCCTGATGCTTGGTTTGAACTTCAAAAAGTCGTCTTCACCACGTCTAGATGCCTAAATACATTGAGTTGCTGCCATGTGATTGCCATTAGCAATTTGTGTTACCCAGCAATTGAACAGATGAACCTAATAAAGTGGCCGGTGAGTGTATTAGGCAGTAAGTGAACATGTTGTCTCTGAAGTTGATATGGTGGTGAAAGCAGAAAAAAACGGGCAAGCATAAGGATTTGAGGGGCTTTGCAAAACTGCATCCCTCGGTCTGCAGTGGTCAGGACCAGTGGCGGACTGACAACTCATGAGGCCCCCGGGCAATAGGGGATCATTGGGCCCCTGTGTCCTTGCCCAAACTCAAAAAAGCCTATGAAAAAGGTATCAGGGGCATCTCATGGGGCCCCTACTGACCCCAGGCCCTCGGGCAGTGTCCAAGTTTCCAAATGGTCAGTCCGCCCCTGGTGAGGACTGATCAAAAGTGGTCCTTGGAAAGAAAACCAGCGAAACAGTGACAAGGTCATGGGTGGCCAAGGCTCATTGATGGAGGTGGGAAGGGAAGGCTGGCCTGTATAGTCTGATCCAATGGAAGAGCTACTGGAGCTCAAATTGTTGAAAAAGTGAATGCTGATTCTGATAGAAAGGTGGCACAGGGCGTGATAATTTATTGTGTATGCTGCAGACCGCTCAGGGTGCCCAGCTGACTCGTAACCACAGCCAAATGTGCATGTGAGCATCAGAGCTGGACCACGGAGCAATGGAAGAAGGTGGCCTGGTCTGATGAATCACATTTTCTTTTACATCATGTGGATGGCTGAGTGGGTGTGCATCACTTACCTGGGGAAGAGATGGCACCAGGATGGAGTATGGGAACAAGCCGGTGGAGGCAGTGTGATGTTTTGGGCAATGTTCTGCAGGGAAACCTCGGGTCCTGCCATTCATGTGGATGTTACTTTAGAGTCCATGCCTCTACAGGTCAGGGGTCTTTTGAGGGCAAAAGGGGATCTACTCAATATGAGTTTGGTGGTCAAAATGTCGTGGTTCACCGATGTATGACCTGGACCTACGCTCAGAATTATTATATATGGCCCAGTTCATGTTTTAGAATTGACAATTTTTTTGTCCACTTTTGGTGTCCATTGTGTACATTGCCTATTCCCCTCTGTCCATCTAATAATCCATCAAGTCTAGAGAATTTGTCCATGGACTCCATGATTTATTCTTGGGTTCTGTTTTTCAGATGACCAAATTCAGTCCGCCCAGGAGACGCACCTTCCCCTGTCTCTGGTATTGTCCATTGTGACCTCAGGCCTTGTGGCTGCCCTAATCTTGGCTTTCTCAGGGATCATGATTGGTGAGTCACTACTATTTATAGAACCTCTCCTCTACAGAACTGTACAAATGTAGGAAAATACAAAAAGTAAAATGTAGTTTTTACCCATTTAGTTTAGAAAGGTTCTCCTTCCACAAGAGGTCTAGTGGCTGTTAAAAATCGAACATTTGAGATCATTTGTGATCATATGACCATTGATACCATAGAACTGGGATATCAGTTAGGCTGACCATACTGTAGACAGCCACAAGTCAGTGTTGATTGGGGACTCCTGCAGAGAGCCATTGTGTTCTCCTGGGGGAGGAGCGGGAGGAGCCATCCCCGCCAGGAGACGGCCATAGAGGGCCACAAGTCAGTGTTGATGGGGGACTCCCTGCCGGAGAGCCATTGTGTTCTCCCGGGGCAGGGGTGGGAGGAGCCATCCCCGCCAGAGACACGGCCATAGAGGGCCACAAGTCAGTGTTGATGGGGGACTCCCTGCAAGGGAGCCATTGTGTTCTTCCCGGGGAGGGGTGGGAGGAGCCATCCCCGCCAGGAGAAGGCCATAGAGGGCCACAAATCAGTGTTGATGGAGGACTCCCTGCCGGAGAGCCATTATGTTCTCCCGGGGAGGGGTGGGAGGAGCCATCCCCGCCAGGAGACGGCCATAGACGGCCAAGAGTCAATTTTGATGGGGGACTCCCTGTTGGGGAACCATTGTGTTCTCCCGGGGTAGGGGCGGGAGGAGCCATCCCCGCCAGGAGACGGCCATAGAGGCCTCAAGTCAGTTTTAATGGGGGACTGCCTGTCGGGGAACCATTGTGTTCTCCCGGGGGAGGGGCAGGAGGAGCCATCCCAGCCAGGAGATGGCCATAGACGGCTAAGAGTCAGTGTGTTGATGGGGGGACTCCCTGCCGGAGATCCATTGTGTTCTCCCGGGGAGAGGGGTGGGAGGAGCCATCCCCGCCAGGAGAACACAGTGATTACTGCTAGCGGATATTATATCTGGTAATAATTGCATGTAAAATACGACAGGCTGTTTGTACTCAAGTTGATCGATCGATCAGCTTGGGTACAGTCAGCCTACCCATACATGATTCGAATCTCGGCCAGTCGCTGCTGAACCAGCTGAGATTCGAAGCATCTATGGCCAGCTTAAGTCTCTCTCAGTACAGCTGATCTCGGATAAGATTTTAGACAATAGCGATTGCAGAACTTTTGGGGTGGGCAGGAGGGGCGTGGCCGTATCATGTGAGGTGGGGGGGGGCACCGCATGGAGAGATCCTACATCCAAGCTGACAGGAGTAGTGGCCGTAGCTTCACTACTCCTGTCAGCTTAGCATTTAAGGAGACCGGCGAGATCTGGAGAGGAGGAGGGAGCCGGGAGAAGGGGCAGGCTGTGCTCTCTCTCTCCCCTCCACCTCCTCCTCCTGCCATTGCAGCTATCCTACCTTGGGGCCGAATCGCCATTGGGCAGTGTTTGTTTGTCTTCCCCCATCTCCTTCCAGCAAAGAACATGGGTAGGGGCAGGGGCGGACTGACAACTCATGGGGCTCCCGGGCAATAGGGGATCATGGGGCCCCCGGGCAATAGGGGATCATGGGGCCCCTGTGTCCTTGCCCAAACTCAAAAAAGCCTATGAAAAAGGTACCATGGGCATCTCATGGGGCCCCCTACTAACCCCGGGCCCTCGGGCAGTGCCCGAGTTTCCAAATGGTCAGTCCGCCCCTGGGTAAGGGGAGGGTAAGCAAACAGTGCACAGTGGCAATCTGACAGCCAGTGGCACCTCAATTGTGAAGCCCCAACTCTGCGATCCTATAGCCCCCCCCCATAGTGCTTGAATTGTTTTGGAGGGGGAGGTGATTTTTGCTGACAAATAATGCTCATACCTTTTGGGGGACGCCCTTTGGCATCTTCACCCTGGGCTCTAGATGACCTTGTCCCATGTCCAATCAATGTTCTTCATGAGAGCTTTGAACCCCAGAGTTTATGACTGCCCCCATAGATGTTGTTATTCATTTATGATTTATTCATGCCCATGGACCTCTAGAAGGAAAGTTTCCAGAGAGTCCTTTTTGTTCCATGTCAGTAGGCCATTATGAACCAATGTCCTCTTTACAGTGTACCGCAGGAAGCATCAGGAGCTCCAGGCCATACAGATGGAACTACAGAGCCCAGACTACAAACTCAGCAAAGTGAGAACATCCACCATCATGACGGACTACAACCCCAACTACTGCTTTGCCGGCAAGATCACCTCCATCGGAGACCTGAAAGAGGTGCCCAGGAAACACATCTCCCTCATCAGGTGAGGTTAAGGTGGCAGCCTGAAAGTGTGACACCATCTGACTCCTTAACTCATGATAGTTACAAATAAGGTGTTGTTATATGAACAGCCAGTGACACCACCCGCCCCCTTCACTTACATGGCCAGGAATCACCAGGGGTAGTTAAAAAAAAAAATAGAATGGGGGTCCCCTCCTAGTTCATACTAGACCCCCATACCAGACCCTACACCAAAAAAACAAAAATGTTGTGGAGTCCCCTGAAACTCTATACCAAACACCTCTGGCAGAGCATGTTGTCCCCATTGATGAATACAATGGCCTTTTCCCCACAACCCCGGCCTAGTTTCTCTGGGGGGGTCTGTAATTGGGGGTGTATCGGAATCTGGAAGCCCCTGTAACAATAAGGTGGCTCCCAAATTGGCGTACATAATACCCCAACTCATTCACAAAAAAATGTAAGTAAAAAAAAAAACAGACAAATAAAAAAAAAATCCCTCTCAAAGTACATCTGCCGACAAGCCACGTCAACTGTGCAGTCAGTTTTGTTCCGAATCGAAATTCGGATGAATTTTTTTTTTCGGATTAATTCAATGGGTGACTGACAGCTCATATATACAAAAGGGAGGGGTCTCCCGGGTGACCTCATTCATCAAATACGGACATGTCCTTATTGTTAAACGAGGAATCCAGATTCTGATAAGACCCCTTCCAGCCGCCCCCCGCAACAAGAACCCCCTCCTCTTCATGAACGATTTTCAATGTGCTGTGAAAATCCCTGTAATGTGTCTAATATGGTCATTCCCTTTGATCATCGGCTCCATCTACTGGCCATAATGCAGTATTTCTCTGAAATAGCTCCATCAGAAGATTTCAGCATTATGGCCAGTAGGTGGAGCTAGAAATCATAGGAAATAAACAGATGAGACATATTACAGGGATTATTTGAGACATCATCCTATGCACTTGTACGCATTTTTTTTTTAAATAGACCCATTAGATTTTTTTGTGTCCTAATTCTGCGAACTAGTCCACATAGTCCACTAGTCCTCATGCCAGGGTACGAGGTGTAATCCTGGACTCCCATCTGTCCTTTCAGCCCCAAATCCAATCACTGTCCAAATCTTGTAGACTTCACCTCCGCAACATCTCCAACTTCCGCAACATCTCCAACCTCCGCAACATCTCCCAACCTCCACCACCACATCTCTCCAACCTCCACCACATCTCCAACCTCCGCAACTTCTCCAACCTCCCACCACATCTCCAACCTCCACCACATCTCCAACCTCCGCAACTTCTCCAACCTCCACCACATCTCCAACCTCCGCAACATCTCCAACCTCCACCACATCTCCCACCTCCACCACATCTCCAACTTCCGCAACATCCAACCTCCACCACATCTCCAACCTCCGCAACATCTCCAACCTCCGCAACATCTCCAACCTCCGCAACATCTCCAACCTCTGCAACATCTCCAACCTCTGCAACATCTCCAACCTCTGCAAATCTCCACCTCTCCAACCTCCACCACACATCTCCAACCTCTGCAACATCTCCAACCTCTGCAACATCTCCAACCTCCACCACATCTCCAACCTCACCCACTCCCCTCCATCCCACTCCAACCTCCGCAACTTCTCCAACCTCCACAACATCTCCAAGACTCTCCCGTTTTTAACCTCGGAAACTACTAAGCAACTTATTCCCTCCCTGGTTATCTCTCACCTTGACTATTGTAACTCCCTCCTCATTGGCCGACCCCATCGCAGGCTATCCCCTCTTCAGTCTATCATGAATGCTGCTGCCAGACTCATCCACCTTACTAACAATTCTGTATCTGCCACCCTCTCTGCCAATCCCTCCACTGGCCTCCATTCAGTGTCCTCCACCCCTCTCTGCCAATCCCTCCACTGGCCTCCACTCAGTGTCCTCCACCCCTCTCTGCCAATCCTTCCACTGACCTCCACTCAGTGTCCTCCACCCCTCTCTGCCAATCCCTCCACTGGCTTACACTCAGTGTCCTTCACCCCTCTCTGCCAATCCCTCCACTGGCCTCCACTCAGTGTCCTCCACCCCCCCTCTGCCAATCCCTCCACTGGCTTTCATTCAGTGTCCTTCACCCCTCTCTGCCAATCCCTCCACTGGCCTCCATTCAGTGTCCTCCACCCCTCTCTGCCAATCCCTCCACTGGCCTCCACTCAGTGTCCTCCACCCCTCTCTGCCAATCCCTCCACTGGCTTCCCATTGCCCAACGGATACAATTCAAAACATTAACAATCAAATATAAAACCATATATAACTCCGCCCCAAATTACACCACCAATCCTGTCTCCAAATATCACCCAAACCGTACTCTGCGCTCCTCACACGACCTCCTACTCTCTAGCTCCCTTGTCTCCTCCTCCCATGCTTGTCTCCAGGACTTCTCCAGAGCCTCCCCCATCCTCTGGAACTCTCTACCCCAATCTATCAGACTATCGCCTACTCTGCTCACTTTTAGGCGATCTCTGAAAACCTCTCTCTTCAGGGAAGCCTATCCTGCTCTCAGGTAATAATGGAATCTTCTACTCCTCCTACCCGTCCATCCCCCCCAGTTACTACCTTTTGTACCACTAGCCCCTCCCTCTTAGATTGTAAGCTCCCAGGATCAGGGCCCTCCTATCCCTCTTGTATTGAACTGTATTGTTGCTGTATTGTCTCCCTGTTATATTGTAAAGTGCTGAGCAAACTGTTGGCGCCATAAATCCTGTATAATAATAATAACATAGGCCACCTCAGATAATAATGAGCCCAGCACAGCCCCGGGGGTGTTTATTTGCAACCTATAAATAAAATATCATTTTTGGATGGACTTTAATTCTCATGGTAGACCTTCGCCATGACCGCTTCTTCCCGGCAAGACCTTTGCTGTATTAGAGGAGACGCCAGGCCCCTTATCGGAAATCTCCACTCAGCTAAATGAGCCGTGAAACCCAAACCGAAGGTCATTTATCCAAAGTGATAACCGGATGGAATTCACTTCCACCTGATTGTCAAAAAAAAAAGTTTCCCTTGACGGATTTATCCATTAGACGCCGAAAATAATGCGGCGCGAAGAGACATTAACCGCCGTGAACCGCTGGTGGACTTCAAGTGCCAGAGCTCATTGCCTCTATGAACCGAAGATGGAGTACAGTTCTCCCACCTCAGACGGAGAGGAGCTCGGTTTCTGCGGACTCTTCCTCCGTGCCTTGTTGTCTGTTATCATCAAATTTATGAAGTGTCAGAGGAAGACCTTGTAGAGGAGTCAGAATCAATTTGTCAGAGGTCTCCGAGTTCACGGAGATAGATGAGCTCCACATCCGGCTGGAGAACTCCTAATGATAACTACTTCTCGGGCAATGTCAGACATCTGTCACTCAACTTTACAAGGGACTTCGCACCTCCAGCTGCCGGGACGTCTTCTCGGTGGAAAGAATTAACTTCTCAGTCCGAATAAAATTCTTTTTTTTTTTTTTTTTATGTGGTGGATTTATAGAAGATGTCACAAGTCCCCCGATTTTGTGAAATTACTTTATAACGGAAACTCGGGACGGCAGGCAGCTCCTTGGCTTGATGATGCTGAAGTTACTCCGAACCTTGCTTTACGAGAACATCATAAAATAGAACTTCTCCAGCCGGTATGGAAACTCCTGGCCACATTATTGGGTCCACCTTGCTAGTACCAGGAAAATATCTCCCCACACCATGACACCACCAGCACCACCATCCTGAACCGTGGATACAAGGCAAGATGGATCCACCACACCATGACACCACCACCATCAGCCTGAACCGTTGATATGAGGCAGGATAGATTCACCACACCATGACACCACCACCACCAGCCTGAACCCTTGATATAAGGCAAGATGGATCCACCTCACCATGACATCACCACCACCAGCCTGAACCGTTGATATAAGTCAGGGTGGATCCACCCACGACATGACACCACCAGCCTGAACCATGGATACAAGGCAGGATGGATACACGTCACCATGACACCACCACCACCACCCTGAACCGTTGATATGAGGCAGGATGGATCCACCACACCATGACACCACCACCACCAGCCTGAACTATTGATACAAGGCAGGATGGATCCCCCACACCATGACACCACCACCACCAGCCTGAACCGTGGATACAAGGAAGGATGGATCCACTGCACCATGACACCACCAGCAGCCTGAACCATTGATATAAGGCAGGGTGGATCCACCACACCATGACACCACCACCACCAGCCTAAACCATTGATATAAGTCAGGGTGGATCCACCTCACCATGACACCACCAGCCTGAACCGCGGATATAAGGCAAGATGGATCCACCACACCATGACACCACCACCAGCCTGAACCGTTGATATAAGGCAAGATGGATCCACCACACCATGACATCACCACCACCAGCCTGAACCATTGATATGAGGCAGGATGGATCCACCACACCATGACACCACCACCACCAGCCTGAACCGTTGATACAAGTCAGGATGGATCCACCACACCATGACACCACCACCACCAGCCTGAACCGTTGATACAAGGCAGAATGGATCCACCACACCATTCCACCACCACCACAGCGACAGAGAAATCCGGTCTCCTGCCCTGTCAGACAGGGCTGTGCTGTGTGGCAGAGCTGTGTAAATCTCCGCACTGGTTGGACTGAAATTTTTCATTTTTTTTTTTTCATTTTAAGCAGCTCCTTCTTATAAATCCCCTTTGTGTCTTTAGCAGTTTTGCCCGGAGTTCAGCTTTAAAGGAAATTTTCTTTTGTTTGCGAGGAGGTGAGGGGTGAGGAATGAGGGGCGAGGGGTGAAGGGCGAGGGGTGAGGGACGAGGGGTGAGGGATGAGCGGCGAGGAACGAGGGGTGAAGGGCTAGGAGTGAAGGACGAGGGACGAGGGGAGAGGGACGAGGGGAGAGGGACGAGGGGTGAAGGACGAGGGGTGAGGGGTGAGGGACGAGGGCGAGGGTTCTGACAGCGAATCGCTCCCCACCTATCAGCACGGGTCTGTAATCAGAAGTGGCAGGTTGGGGTTCTCAGGCATCCCTGCAGCAGAAAGTCCTCATCCGGAGATATCGGTTCTGTTCTTTGCATACTATTAGCATTTCCCCGCATCGGCTTTTTCTCACGTCCTTCGCCGCGGCGTACTGCAAATGCGATTTCTGGGAAAGGCGGGAGAGATGTAAACTCATCCGTTTCTTCTTTGAAAAAACGTGACTGAATTGAAGAAAAAAAAATGGAACGCCCATGTGAACGCACCCTTACAAAGATGTATGCATTTCCTATGCTCCTTTGCTCCATCTAGTGGCCACAATGTGGTATTTTACAATCGCCCATAAACATTCGTTCTGAAGAGGTAAGAGCCTAAAGAACATTTGTTTTTGCCGAGTTTGCACAGAACGAACGTACACGCGGTACACGCACTCTCTGGATGAACGGCTCTGCTCAGTTTTTTCTATAAGCTCCTTCGAGTCAGCCAAGACCACATCAGGGATTTGCGACATTTTGTTCCTTCTGGGCGAAGTCTGGAAATGAACATTCGTTCCCTCTGCCAGCATTGGAGATAATACGGAGCGCACAGCTCGCCAGGCGGACAGACCTATGTAGAGGATTAGCCCCTCCCGCCTCTCCCAGAAATCGCATTTGCAGTACGCTGCAGCGAAGGACGCAAGAAAATCCGATGCGGGGAAATGCTAATAGTATGCAAAGAACAGAACCGATATCCCCGGATCAGGACTTTCTGCTGCAGGGATGCCTGAGAACCCCAACCTGCCGCTTCTGATTACAGACCCGCGCTGATAGGTGGGGAGCGATTCGCTGTCAGAACACTCGTCCCTCGCGTCTCGCCCCTCACCCTTCGTCCCTCGCATCTCGCCCCTCACCCTTCGTCCCTCGCATCTCGTGTCCCGCCCCTCACCCTTCGCCCCTCCCCTTCCCCTTGCCCCTCACCCCCTCGTGTCTCACCCCTCGTGTCTCGCCCCTCACCCTTCATCCCTCGCCTCTCGTCCCTCGCCCCTCACCCCTCGTGTCCCTCGCCCCTCGTGTCTCGTCCCCTCACCCCTCCCCTCATCCCTCGTCCTTTGCCCCTCGCCCCTTGTCCCCTCACCCCTCGTGTCTCCTCCCCTCGTGTCTCGTCCCTCACCCCTCGCACCTCGCCCCTCATCCCTCGTCCTTTGCCCCTCTCGCCCCTTGTCCCTCACCCCTCGTGTCTCACCCCTCGTCCCTCCCCCCTCACTCCTCGTCCCTCACCCCTCGTGTCTCACCCCTCGTCCCTCTTCCCTCACTCCTCGTCCCTCACCCCTCGTCCCTCGCCCTTCACCCCTCGCCCTTTCACCCCTCGCCCCTCATTCCTTGCCCCTCGTCCCCTCTCCCCTCGTCCCTCGTCCTTCACTCCTCGCCCTACACCCCTCGCCCCTCATCCCTCTCCCTCGCCCCTCGTCCCTCACCCCTTGCCCTTCACCCCTCGCCCCTCGTCCCTCACCCCTCGTCCCTCACCCCTTGCCCTTCACCCTCGCCCCTCATCCCTCGCCCCCTCGTCCCTCACCCCTTGCCCTTCACCCCTCGCCCCTCGTCCCTCACCCCTCGTTCCTCGCCCCTCGCAAACGAAAGAAAATTGCCTTTAAAGCTTCTTTATAAATGGGATTTATAAGGAGGAGTTGCTTACCTGGAAAGCGAGTTGTATTTCTGTCCATCCAGTGCAGAGATTTACACAGCTCTGCCATGCAGCACAGCCCCATCTGCCAGGGCAGGAGACCGGACTTCTCTGTCGCTGTTAAGCAGCACCTAGTGGCCTTGCCCCTCCCCCAACCTGTGATTGGACAGCAAAAGGAGAAGCTACACAGCAACGAGCTCATCTCTCTTTCTCCACCTATCAGTAGTGCTGGGGACATCTAGAGGGGCAACCGTGTCAAATTGCAACCCCCCCCCCCAAAAAAAAAAAAAACAAGCACTTATTGCCATGCTTACCCCTCAGCATAAATCCCCCTCCCAGCACAAATATTTGCCCCCCATCCCCCCAGCTAAAATCCTCCCTCTCCTCATATGCCCTCAGCACAAATCTATCCCCCCAAAACGTGTCCCTCAAAGCACAATTCCTCCCCCTGCTCCAAATCCTCCTTCCCGGCACAGATCCCCCCAAATTTCCCCTCTGAACACAAATCCTCTCCCCCCCGCTCCAAATCCTCCTTCCCGGCATAGATCCCCCCAAATTTCCCCTCTGAACACAAATCCTCTCCCCCCCCGCTCCAAATCCCCCTTCCCGGCACAGATCCCCCCCAAATTTCCCCTTCGAGCACAAATCCTCTCCACCCCGCTCCAAATCCCCCTTCCCGGCACAGATCCCCCCAAATTTCTCCTCCGAGCACAAATCCCCCCCCCCCGCTCCAAATCCTCCTTCCCAGCACAGATCCCCCCAAATTTCCCCTTCGAGCACAATCCCCCCCCCGCTCCAAATCCCCCTTCCCGGCACAAATTGCCCCAAATTTCCCCTCCTAGCACAGATTCCCCCCCACCCGCTCCAAATCCTTCCTCCCAGCACAAATTACCCTCCCCCAAACCCCCTTTCTTAGCACAACCCCCCCTTCCCAAAATCCCCCCCTAGCACAAATATCCCCCCCCCGATCATCTCTACTGGCACAAAACCCCCCTCAAAAAAAAAAATCCCCTCCTAGCTCAGATCCACTCGCCCCCCACCATATCACTTATTCTAGCACAAACCCCCCCCCCCCCATATCCTTTCTCCTAGCACAAGTCCTCTCCCCCATCCCCACTCCCAACACATATTCCCCCAAATCACCACTCCTAGCACCCCCCCCCCCAAATTTCTCCTCTTAAAACAATTCATACCCCCTACCGCCCCCCAAATTCCTCCTCCCAACAAAAATGTCCTCCCCCTCAATCTCACATGATACCACAGTGCCCAGGGCAGCCGCCCCTCTTGCCCACCCCTTGTCCCGGCCCGGCTTTCTTGTTTTGGTGAGAACTTCAGCACTATTTACTCCTTGAGCTGCCTTCCCAGTGAAGGTATGGGGGGGGCACCTTACATTTAGTGTAGAGGTATTGGGGGGGGCACCTTACATTTAGTGTAGAGGTATGGGGGGGCACCTTACATTTAGTGTAGAGGTATGGGGGGCACCTTACATTTAGTGTAGAGGTATGGGGGGGGCACCTTACATTTAGTGTAGAGGTGTGGGGGGGGGGGCACCTTACATTTGGTGTAGAGGTATGGGGGGCACCCTACATTTAGTGTAGAGGTATGGGGGGGCACCTTACATTTAGTGTCGAGGTATGGGGGGCACCTTACATTTAGTGTAGAGGTATGGGGGGGGCACCTTACATTTAGTGTAGAGGTATGGGGGGGGCACCTTACATTTAGTGTAGAGGTATGGGGGGGAGGGGCACCTTACATTTAGTGTTGAGGTATTGGGGGGGCACCTTACATTTAGTGTAGAGGTATGGGGGGCAACTTACATTTAGTGTGGAGGTATGGGGGGGCACCTTACATTTAGTGTAGAGGTATGGGGGGGCACCTTACATTTAGTGTAGAGGTATTGGGGGGTCACCTTACATTTAGTGTAGAGGTATGGGGGGCACCTTACATTTAGTGTAGAGGTATGGGGGGGCACCTTACCTTTAGTGTAGAGGTATTGGGGGGCACCTTACATTTAGTGTAGAGGTATTGGGGGGCACCTTACGTTTAGTGTAGAGGTATTGGGGGGGCACCTTACATTTAGTGTAGAGGTATTTGGGGGGGCACCTTACATTTAGTGTAGAGGTATTGGGGGGGCACCTTACATTTAGTGTAGAGGTATGGGGGAGCACCTTACATTTAGTGTCGAGGTATGGGGGGCCTTACATTTAGTGTAGAGGTATGGGGGGGCACCTTACATTTAGTTTAGAGGTATTGGGGGGCACTTTACATTTAGTGTAGAGGTATGGGGGGGGCACCTTACATTTAGTGTAGAGGTATGGGGGGGCACCTTACATTTAGTGTAGAGGTATTGGGGGGGCACCTTAAACTTAGTGTAGAGGTATTGGGGGGGGCACCTTAAACTTAGTGTAGAGGTATTGGGGGGCCCCTATATTCGCGTAGAGGTATTGGGAGGTATTAGTGTAGAGGTATTGGGGGGCACCTTACATTTAGTGTAGAGGTATTGGGGGGCACCTTACATTTAGTGTAGAGGTATTGGGGGGCACCTTACCATTTAGTGTAGAGGTATGGGGGGGGCACCTTACATTTAGTGTAGAGGTATGGGGGGGCACCTTACATTTAGTGTAGAGGTATGGGGGGGGGGCACCTTACATTTAGTGTAGAGTATGGGGGGGCACCTTACATTTAGTGTAGAGGTATGGGGGGGCACCTTCTACTTTTCTCATACTTTTCTCTGTCTTTCCTCCGCAGAGGTCTGGGTCACGGGGCGTTCGGTGAAGTCTATGAAGGACAAGTGCTGTGCAGTCCCAACGATCCGGTTCCCCTGAAGGTCGCGGTGAAGGTAAGGTCACGCCCCCAGTTCGCGGTTCATTTATTGACGCCATCTACGTCCAATCAGAAACCTTGTTCTGTCGGTGGATATGATGTAGCAGTTGGATACAATCGCATAGATTGCGATGGCGTCAGGCAGGTTGGTGGACGTCCCTTCCACTACCTCTTCCTCACTGCCTTCTGCCTGCCCCAACTCACAGTATTTGACCCCCCAGGCAACTGCTGGGGCCAATCAGCCCTTAGATGGGCGTGGTTCTGAGTGCCTCCTGGACTCCAAAGTATAAGGAGACACTCCAGACTTCAGAAGAGCAGGATGCTAGCGCCATCCTTAGGAGTGGAGCTGGCACAGCACCGCCCGGTATGTTCAGGTATAGATTGCATTCCTTCGACACAAAGTCTTAGGAGTTCCGGGAGTGACGATACATTAAAACAGAGTAATGTGATAAACAAGGAGTTCCGGTGATTGTCAGCTCTGTGGTCACAGTAGTTCCAGGTCCGGGATCATCGTTGGCAGAAGGCGAGGCCCATCCATCATCCTTGAATTTAATGAGTCTCCCGAATCTCGCAGCAAAGTCCCCGCGGCGTCAGCTTGGAGCCGACTCATAAAACACTCCGTCTGCGAGGCCTTCAATCAGGAGAGGCGCCATCTTGTACAGGCCTTGGCCGGGCGCTCAACTCTTCATTCCACTTATTGCTTTGTTAGCCGTGGACAGGGTGGCCACTGCTGGGTTGAGGAGGCACATTTTCAGGGGGAGGGGGGAGCCCAGAGTGAGGGGGTGTTTATTAAAAAAACATTCACATTTCTGTTCGTCCATTGAAACTGTATGGAATTCGTCCTGTGGGAAAATCGAATGTTCTTGGATCAAATGTGTGAAATGGGAAAAATACACAAGGAGACAAGTATGGTGGGACCTGCAGACTGTGAACTGAAGTAGTTCATGGCTCACAAACGGGGGGGAGGGGGCAATTTCCCTTTCACCTTTGGTGCTAAAGGACTGGGCCCGAGTCCAGGGGGGTTCTGGGGTTGGCTGAACCCCCCCTAAGTATAGTTGTGCCCCCCCAGGACTCTGAGCGTTCATCCACTGATCCATGAGCTAGGCTGATGTGGACACCTGATGTAAGGGGCACTCCTAATGGGGGCAGTTATATAAGGGGGCACTCTGATGTGGGCATTTTTTTGTAAGGGGGCACTCTGATAGGGACACAGATGTAAGGGGCACTCTGATGGGGACACAGATGTAAGGGGGCACTCTGATGGGGACACTGATGTAAGGGGGCACTCTGATGGGGACACTGATGTAAGGGGCACTCTGATGGGGACACTGATGTAAGGGGGCACTCTGATGGGGACACTGATGTAAGGGGGCACTCTGATGGGGACACCTGATATAAAGAGGCACTCTGATGGGGGATGTAAGGGGGCACTCTGATGGGACACCTGATAAAGAGGCACTCTGATGGGGACCCTGATGTAAGGGGGCACTCTGATGGGGACCCTGATGTAAAGAGGCACTCTGATGGGGACCCCTGATGTAAAGAGGCACTCTGATGGGGACCCTGATGTAAGGGGGGCACTTCTAATGGGAACAATTATATAAAGGGGGAGGGGCACTCTAATATGGACAATTGATGTAAGAGTGGGGGACTTTGATAGGAACACTGATGTAATTGGGCACTCTGATAGGGACATCTGATCATTTGTAAGGGGACACTCTGATGAAGACAATCGATGTAAGGGGGTACTTTGGGGGACACTGATGTAAGGGGCACTCCTGATGGGGACACCTGATGTAAAGGGGCACTCCTAACGGGGACCGTTATGTAAAAGAAGCACTCTGAGAGGGACAATTGTTGTAAGAGGGATCCTGATATGGACAACTGATTTAAGGGGACACTCTGATGGGGACACTTGATGTAATGGGGCACTTCTAACAGGGACCATTATATAAGGGAGTACTCAGATAAATTGTTGTAAGAGGGACTCTGATGGGGGACAACTGGTGTAAGGGGACACTCCTAATGGGAACAGTTATGTAAGGGGGCACTCTGATGGGGACAGTTATATAGGGGGGGCACTCTGATGGGGACAGTTGTATAGGGGGGGCACTCTGATGGGGACAGTTATATAGGGGGGGCACTCTGATGGGGACAGTTGTATAAGGGGGCACTCTGATGGGGACAGTTGTATAAGGGGGCACTCTGATGGGGACAGTTGTATAAGGGGGGGGGGGGCACTCTGATGGGGACAGTTATATAGGGGGGGCACTCTGATGTGACAGTGTAAGGGGGGGCACTCTGATGGGGACAGTTATATAAAGGGGCACTCTGATGGGGACAGTTATATAAAGGGGGGGCACTCTGATGGGGACTATAGGGGGGGGCATTCTGATGGGGACAGTTATATAAGGGGGCACTCTGATGGGGACAGTTGTATAAGGGGGCACTCTGATGGGGACAGTTATATAGGGGGCACTCTGATAGGGCAGGGGACAGTTTGACAGGGGGCACTCTGATGGGACAGTTATATAAGGGGGGGCACTCTGATGGGGACAGTTATATAAGGGGGGGCATTTGATGGGGACAGTTATATAAGGGGCACTCTGATGGGGACAGTTGTATAAGGGGGCACTCTGATGGGGACAGTTATATAGGGGGCACTCTGATGGGGACAGTTGTATAAGGGGGCACTCTGATGGGGACAACTGATGTAAGGGGGCACTCCTAATTGGAACAGTTATATAAGGGGGCACTCTGATGGGGACAGTTATATCAGGGGGGGCACTCTGATGGGGACATTTATATCAGGGGGCACTCTGATGGGGACAGTTATATCAGGGGGCACTCTGATGGGGGACAGTTATATCAGGGGGCACTCTGATGGGGACAGTTGTATAAGGGGGGGGCACTCTGATGGGGACAGTTATATAGGGGGGGGCACTCTGATGGGGACAGTTATATAAAGGGGCACTCTGATGGGGACAGTTTATATAGGGGGGCACTGATGGGGACAGTTATATAGGGGGGGGCACTCTGATGGGGACAGTTATATAAGGGGCACTCTGATGGGGACAGTTATATAGGGGGGGGCACTCTGATGGGGACAGTTATATAAGGGGGGGCACTCTGATGGGGACAGTTATATAAGGGGGGCACTCTGATGGGGACAGTTATATAAGGGGGCACTCTGATGGGGACAGTTATATAGGGGGGGGCACTCTGATGGGGACAGTTATATAAAGGGGCACTCTGATGGGGACAGTTATATGACTCTGATGGGGGACAGTTATATAAGGGGGGCACTCTGATGGGGACACCTGATGGGGACAGTTATATAGGGGGGGGGCACTCTGATGGGGACAGTTATATAGGGGGGGCACTCTGATGGGGACAGTTATATAGGGGGGGGGGCACTCTGATGGGGACAGTTATATAGGGGGGGCACTCTGATGGGGACAGTTATATAGGGGGGGGCACTCTGATGGGGACAGTTATATAAGGGGGCACTCTGATGGGGACAGTTATATAGGGGGGGCACTCTGATGGGGACAGTTATATAGGGGGGGCACTCTGATGGGGACAGTTATATAGGGGGGCACTCTGATGGGACAGTTATATAGGGGGGGCACTCTGATGGGGACAGTTATATAGGGGGGCACTCTGATGGGGGACAGGGGGGCATACTGATGGGGACAGTTATATAGGGGGCACTCTGATGGGGACAGTTATATAGGGGGGCACTCTGATGGGGACAGTTATATAGGGGGGGCACTCTGATGGGGACAGTTATATAGGGGGGCACTCTGATGGGGACAGTTATATAGGGGGGGCACTCTGATAGGGACACCTGATGTAAGGGGTACTCTGATGGGGACAGTTTATATAGGGGGGGCACTCTGATGGGGACAGTTATATAGGGGGGGGGCACTCTGATGGGGACACTCTGATGGGGACAGTTATATAGGGGGGGCACTCTGATGGGGACAGTTATATAGGGGGGCACTCTGATGGGGACAGTTATATAGGGGGGCACTCTGATGGGGACAGTTGTATAAGGGGGCACTCTGATGGGGACAGTTATATAGGGGGGGCACTCTGATGGGACACCTATAAGGGGGCACTCTGATGGGGACAGTTATATAGGGGGGGCACTCTGATGGGGACACCTGATAAGGGGGTACTCTGATGGGGGACAGTTATATAGGGGGGGCACTCTGATGGGGACAGTTATATATAGGGGGGGCACTCTGATGGGGACAGTTATATAGGGGGGGGGCACTCTGATGGGGACAGTTATATAGGGGGGGCACTCTGATGGGGACAGTTATATAGGGGGGCACTCTGATGGGGACAGTTATATAGGGGGGCACTCTGATGGGGACAGTTATATAGGGGGGCACTCTGATGGGGACAGTTATATATGGGGGGGGGCACTCTGATGGGGACAGTTATATAGGGGGGCACTCTGATGGGGACAGTTATATAGGGGGGCACTCTGATGGGGACAGTTATATAGGGGGGGGGGCACTCTGATGGGGACAGTTATATAGGGGGGCACTCTGATGGGGACAGTTTATATAGGGGGGGCACTCTGATGGGGACACCTGATGTAGGGGGTGCAGGTTCTGTATATCATTCTAAGCCGGTTCTGTTGTGTCCGGAGCTCCGGGTCGGAATGGAAGGGTAACCTCTGGCTCAGCTTCTCCATGTCCGGTATTGTATTTATGGGTTGGTGTTACCGGCCCTGTAAATATTTATTATGATGAGGATAGAGCAGACTGATCAATAAGTTATCGTCTTCCCTGAAGAGTTTTCCGCGTCCAGCTGGCGGCTGATTAGAGGTGGATGTAGCGGAGGGTTCAATGTAGACTCCCCATCCCCCCCTCTCAGCACTTCTGCGCCTCGTGAAGTCCTCAGCCTGTCGATGGGTTATTGAATTACAGGAGATGCCGACTCGGCAGCCATGACAGGAGACGGTTTACAGCGACGGCTCCACTAATCACAACACACCATAAAGTGCAGATATAGATTGACACAGCAGGTGACATATCCCTTCAAATGCAGCTAATATAAGTACCTGACTGTAGGACTGGCGTATAGTCTGCCTATATTTTACCTTCCCTGGGCACCCCCTCACCCCTCACCCCTCATTAACATATTGACATCTTAAAAATGACACCTTTACATTTTCAATACACACCTTATTTTAGTCCTAGTGATGTCTACACTGGGTCTCTGTGCTTCTCTATGCAATGCAGGCAGAATTGCAAATAAAATTTTGGCCGAAATTTTGTTTTGTTTTTTCAGATTCATTGAAGTTCGTTACTATTTTAATTTGGATGTTCAGATACATCCGAATTTCTGAATAACAAAAAATTTGTTTGAATTTCAATTCGGAACGAAATAAACCACATATGTCTAGTGTGCAGTGAAATCAGAGGAAGCCGTATCAGTCCAGGAGGGGAGCCGATACACCTGTGCACTGAAGAGGAGGAGCCAGACCTGTGCAAGACTGAAGGGGAGGAGCCGGTACACCTGTGCAAGACTGAAGGGGAGGAGCCGTACACCTGTGCAAGACTGAAGGGGAGGAGCCGGTACACCTGTGCAAGACTGAAGGGGAGGAGCCGGTACACCTGTGCAAGACTGAAGGGGAGGAGCCAGTACACCTGTGCAAGACTGAAGGGGAGGAGCCAAGTACACCTGTGCAAGACTGAAGGGGAGGACCTGCAAGACTGAAGGGGAGTACACACCTGTGCAAGACTGGAGGGGAGGAGCTGGTACACCTGTGCAAGACTGAAGGGGAGGAGCCGGTACACCTGTGCAAGACTGAAGGGGAGGAGCCTGTACACCTGTGCAAGACTGAAGGGGAGGAGCCGGTACACCTGTGCAAGACTGAAGGGGAGGAGCCTGTACACCTTATGCAAGACTGAAGGCAAGACGAGGGGAGCCTGGTACACCTGTGCAAGACTGGAGGGGAGGAGCCAGTACACCTGTGCAAGACTGGAGGGGAGGAGCCAGTACACCTGTGCAAGACTGAAGGGGAGGAGCCGGTACACCTGTGCAAGACTGGAGGGGAGGGAGCCAGTACACCTGTGCAAGACTGCAAGGGGAGGAGCCGGTACGCCTGTGCAAGACTGAAGGGGAGGAGCCGGTACGCCTGTGCAAGACTGAAGGGGAGGAGCCAGTACACCTGTGCAAGACTGAAGGGGAGGAGCCGGTACACCTGTGCAAGACTGAGGGGAGGAGCCGGTACACCTGTGCAAGACTTGAAGAGGAGGGCCTGTACACCTGTGCAAGACTGGAGGGGAGGAGCCGTACACCTGTGCAAGACTGAAGGGGAAGAGCCGCTACACCTGTGCAAGACTGAAGGGGAGGAGCCGGTACACCTGTGCAAGACTGAAGGGGAGGAGTCGGTACACCTGTGCAAGACTGAAGGGGAGGAGCCGGTACACCTGTGCAAGACTGAAGGGGAGGAGCCGGTACACCTGTGCAAGACTTAAGGGGAGGAGCCGGTACACCTATGCAAGACTGAAGGGGAGGAGCCGGTACACCTGTGCAAGACTGAAGGGAAAGAGCCGCTACACCTGTGCAAGACTGAAGGGGAGGAGCCAGTACACCTGTGCAAGACTGGTGGGGAGAGTCGGTACACCTGTGCAAGACCGAAGGGGAGGAGCCGGTACACCTGTGCAAGACTGAAGGGGAGGAGCCGGTACACCTGTGCAAGACTGAAGGGGAGGAGCCGGTACACCTGTGCAAGACTGAAGGGGAGGAGCTGATACACCTGTGCAAGAATGAAGGGGAGGAGCCTGTACACCTGTGCAAGAATGAAGGGGAGGAGCCTGTACACCTGTGCAAGACTTAAGGGGAGGCCGGAGGGAGGATTTAGGATAAATTCAGATTGTAATTCTCTGCAATATAAGAGGAGGGCTCCATCGTCAGACTCTGCAGCGTTCAGTGCTTCTATGAGAGTCAGATGCCGGTTTTCTCTGCCGCACGCGGTGGTTCCATCCTCGACATTAGTGGCAACATCAATGACATCACCAGTGGACAGGCAAAGTAGCTGCAAAGAGGGTGCAGGGGATCAGCAGCATTGAGATGCAACAAAGGATAGCAGCATTGATCAATTATAATAATTCTTAGAACATCGGATACATTGTACTGTAGAAATCCCGATGTGGTTGGGTAGAAGGTCTGTTAGAAAAATTGTAATCGATTTGATTTGTGAACGGAATATTATACATCGAATACACATCGATATTCTGTGAGCGCTGCTGTTTGTTGTGTTCGCAGACTCTGCCGGAGGTGTGTTCAGAGCAAGATGAGCTGGATTTCCTGATGGAGGCGCTCATCATCAGGTGAGGCATGTCCTTTACTGATCCCTGACCATCATGGTCTGTAGTAGGATGCCACCATGGGGGGGGGGAGGTCGAAGGTCACGGGTTGGTAGATACTGTTTACAGGACAGATTGTCTGTACACTGAATATGACGGCTTAAAAGGTAACTCCACTTTTGTTGAGAAAAAACCCTCCCCTCCAGTGACCATAATGCAGCATGTTTTCTGAAATCAGTCAGAAAAATACCACATTATGTCCACTAGATGGAGCTGTCCATCACTGGAAATCACTGCACTAAGCACACTATAGTCAGATTTCCTGGGACAGGTGAAAGCTCATCCAGCAAAATGTGTATTAAAAAATGTATAACTAGTTCCCTTAAAGTATGTGATCTTAGCAGCCATGCCCATTTCTCCTCTGTGGACTACAGAACACCTCCTCCTGTGTATCAGAGGATGGCGAGGTGTTCTGTAGTTCTACCCTAGGATGGCAACTATCCCCTTCTATATACAGTCAGTGCCAAGTCAAGGTCATCTAGTGCCCTAGGTAAATATACCAATCTGTGCCCCCCCCCCCCCCCAAAAAAAATATAGGAGCATTATGTGTTAGCAAAAATTCCCCCTCCCCCCACAAAAATCAAGCATGCTTACCCCTTAAGCACAAATATTTGCCCCCCCCCCCCCAAAGAAAAAAGAAAAATCACCCCTCCTAGCACAAATACTCTACCCCTCAGATTTCCCCTCCAAGCACAAATCTTCCCCTTACAAATTCCCCCTCCAAGCACAAATCCTCTCCCCCCCCCCATTCCAAATCATCTCTCTAAACACAAATTCTGCCCCAAATCCCCCCTTCTAGTACAAATCCTCTCCTTCCAAATTTCCCCTCCTAGCACAATTACCCTCCTATCATCCCTACTAGCACAAACCCTCCCCCCCCAAAAAAAGTATCTCCTAGCACAAATCCTCCTCCCTACCATATTCCCTCTTCTAGCACAAATCCCCCCCCCCCCCCACACAACAAAGCATTCTCTCCCAGCACAAGTTCTCTCCCACCTGTACCATATTCCCTCTTCTGGCACAGCCCCCCCCCCCCCTCCTGAATCCCCTTGCTCCTGAATCCCCCTGCTCCTGACTCCCCCTTCTAGCACAAATTCTCTTTCCCCATCCCCCCTCCCAACACAAATCTCCCCAAATCACCACTCCTAGCTCTCCCCCTATATTTCCCCTCATGGAACAATTCTTACCCCCTACCACCCCCAAATCCTCTCTCCCAACACAAATTCCCCTCCCCCAAATCTCCTCACTTGCCCCCCCTCCATCTCACATACCACTGTGCCCAGGGCTGTCGCCCCTCCTGCCCACCCCTAGTCCCAGCCCTGGATCCAATACAGTGAATGAGTGCCACCACCTTAGGACAGGAAATGTCCGGGAGGACCACCAGGTGAAATTTAAGGAGAAACAAGACTGAAAAAAGAAAGCAAACACAGCCACCACATCTGAGGACTGGTAAGCTGCACTATGTTACATTTTTGCTTTTGGATTTAGATGCCCTTGAATACATGACAAAGAATTCCCTGAGCACTTTTGGTTTTCCAGAGAGATAGCACTGCAGACCCTGCCTGCTTTGAAGTTAGATTTGTCTGTTTGAACCCCACCCTGGTCCAACTCAATTACTTGTGTATTTCAGCTTGAGCTATTGAGTTCTGTCAACAACAACCATTAGATAACATAAGTAAAAAAATAGGATGCGAAATGTGAAAAAGAGCCGACAGCTCCACCTGCTGGTTCACAAAGGGCAGTGCAGACTACTACTATGTAATATACCTTGTTTAACCACTTCCTGTCCAGGCCAATTTTCAGCTCTATCACACTTTGAATGACAATTGAGCGGTCATGCAACACTGTACCCATATGAATGTTTTAGCATTTTTTTGAGACAGATAAAACTTTATTTTGGTGGTATTTAATCACCGCTGGGATTTTTATTTTTTTTTTGCTATGTAATTGAAAAAGTTAAAAAATTTTGAAAAAAAAAAGTTTTTCTTATAAAATTTTGCAAATAAGTCATATTTCATCATAAATCTTGGCCAAAATGTATTCCGTTATCTTTTTAGTAAAAAAAAAAAAAATAACCTAAATTAGTTTATAACCAAAAATTATAATTTTTAAACATTTTTTTTACATTTTTATTTAATTTTTTTATATTATTATTTATGTTTTTTTTTTTTTACATACTGTCACCCTAGTAGTACAGTGTTACCATGGTGACACTGTACTACTTGTGGGGGGTGATGAAGATTTTTTTTTACACTGATTGCTTTTACACACATAAAGGCTGTAAGAGGAATCATTTCTCCTTCTCTCTGAATGCATTCTTGCAGCCATTGAGAACTACTGTGAGAGCTGTGATTGGTCACAGCTTGTCACATGGTACAAGGCTGTTGTGAATGGCCCTGTACCATGTGATCTCTGTGATTATTCACAGATTTCACATGTAGTAAGCAATGATGTCAGAAGTGACATCTTGCTTACTACTCTGCATGTGATCACTGATTGGCCAATCAGTGATCACATGATCGGGACCTCGCAGAGAGGTCCCGTCCGATGATCGGTGTTCCACTGCGGATCACGGTGCTGCGCGTTCCCAGGGAGCAACGCACAAGCAGGGGGTGGGGAGGCCATTTATAAACGTCCACCTGACCCTGCACTGCCACCGTCCGGCCGTTTATATACAATGGATGGGAGGTGATTAACCAACTAAAAGAACATAAATAATGAAAATAATAATATCGCAATAGCAATAAAAAAAATCCATTTGCAGTTTTGCCAAAAAAAAAGAAATTATCAGGAAAACCCCTTTTCAATCCTTTATAAAAGCAGGAAAATTTTAAGGAAAAAAGATTGTGATACAGAAAAATAAATGAATACGGTTGTGTATAATATGCCCCCCCCCCCCCCCCCCGCCTCTTAGCGTGCGATGTACCATTGCATGGGGGAGGTAATTACAGGCGGCGGCGGTAGGTGATTGGCACAGTATACATGGCCTGGGAATAGAGGAGCGCGGTGGCTGTCCTGGCACATCCTCTGATATGAGGATTAAAGATGGCGGATTGCCCACCAGCCCCAAAATTAAGTATTATATTTTGCCAGAGGAGGGCCCATGGCTGGGGAATGTGCCTAAAGACAGCGGTCAGGAATCATGATGTTTTTCTCTCACATCCTCCATGTGGATTATCCTCCATCCTGAGACTTCTCTACCCTCCAAATCTTCTCCTCAAATAATTTCCCATCAACAACCTGATACCAGGGGTGTCATAGCCATCGGCTCTTCACCTTTTATCTCACCTGGAAGCACCACATTGTCTCCTATTCTTCTCTAGTTTTCTCCCTGTTGGTGAGGCTCCCCCTCCCTTATATCTCCATCATCCATGTTTTTTCATTTAATACATTTTCAAGTTCACCATGATGAGTATTAGACCATTAAAGCGGAGTTCCACCTAAAAAAAAAAAAAAAAAAGTCAGCAGCTACAAAAACTGTAGCTGCTGACTTTTAAAATACAGCCACTTACCTGTCCCTCGGTCCGGCGGTGTCCTCACCACGGCTGGTTTCACCGGCCGTCTTCTCTCCCTGGCACCGGCATCTTCAGTGTGGGCACCCGGCTGTGACAGTTTGCGGCTTCACAGCCGGGTGCCCACTGCGCATGCGCGAGAAGTGCTGCGCTTTGTGAATGGCCCCTTAGTCTTCTGGGACCTGTCATGTGTCCCAGAAGACTACAGGGAGGGAGGGGAGGAGGACAACTTCCGCTTCCAATCGCCTAGGTGATCGCAGCGGAAGTGGGAGCAGGTACCTGTCAAATTGGGGTACCTGCTCCCCAAAGGTGCCAATCCTTAATGGGGGAACGGGGGGAAAAGGGTTTAAAGTGGAACTTCCCCTTTTGGGTGGAGCTCCACTTTAAATCCTCCCTCTGGCCTTCCCTCCAGTTTTGCACAGGTGTACTGGCTCCTCCCCTTCAGTCTTGCACAGTTGTACCAGCTCCTCCCCTTCAGTCTTGTGCAGGTGTAGCGGCTCCTCCCCTTCAGTCTTGTACAGGTGTAGCGGCTCCTCCCCTTCAGTCTTGCACAGGGTGTACTGGCTCCCTGCACAGGTGTACTGGCTCCTCCTCTCCAGTCTTGTACTGGTGTACTGGCTCCTCTCTCGGAGTGAAATAGCTTTACTCTGATTTCACTGCATACTGTGAGCTTCTCACAATGTGCATTAGAAGCTGCAGCAAGTCAGATAGAGCTCCGCCTCATTTTCTGGCTGGAGGATGTCCAGCCTCATTTAGTTCTTTCCTTCCCAGCCTGATTCACACATTTCATTCATTGGGTTTCCGTTCTTTAAGTTCAGAGTCTCGGAATCACATGTGGGCTGTCTGTATGTAAATACAACCTGCCTAGGAACGCCCACTCCTCCATCAAGGCATTTTGATATTTGCGTAAATCCTCCCACTGCATGTATTAGGAATGACCGCTCTTGGGAGGAATGCTGAGGCAGGGTTCTCCCGAGCATTTCTTTTCCCAGATGTTCCTCTTCCTTTTCCAGTCATTCCTCTTCTCTTCCCTGATGTTCCTCTTCTCTTCCCTGATGTTCCTCTTTTCTTTCCAGATCTTCCTTTTCTCTTCCAGGCATTCCCTCTTCTCTTCCCAGATCTTCCTATTTCCTTCCCAGATGTCCCCTTCTCTTTCCAGACTTCATTTTCCTTTCCCAGATGTTCCTGTTCTTTTCCTAGATGTTTCTCTATTCTTCCCAGATGTTCCTCTATTCTTCCCAGATGTTCCTCCTCCCTTCCCAGACGTTCCTCTTCTCTTCCCAGATGTTCCTCTTCTCTTTCCAGATCTTCATTCTCTCTTCCCAGACATTCCCCATTCTCTTCCCAGATGTTCCTCTTCTCTTTCCAGATCTTCATTCTCTCTTCCCAGACATTCCCCATTCTCTTCCCAGATGTTTATATTGCCCTCCCAGATGTCCCCCTTCTCTCTTCAGATGTTCCTCTTTTATTCCCAGGTGTTCCCTCTTCTCTTCCCTGATGTTCCTCTTCTCTTTGCAGACACTCCTCTTCTCTTCCCTGATGTTCCACTTCTTTTCCCCGACATTTCCTCTTCTCTTCCCAGATCTTCCTTATCTCTTGCCAGACATTCCCTCTTCTCTTTCTAGATGTTCCCATTGCCTTCCCAGGTGTCCCCTTCTCTTTCCAGATGTTTCCCTTCTTTTTCCATATGTTCCTCTTCTTTTTTTCCCAGATGTTCCTCTTCTCTTCTCAAATGTTCCTCTTTTCTTCCCAGATGTTCATCTTCTCTTTCTAGATCTTCCTTTTCTCTTCCCAGACAATTCCCTCTTCTCTTCCCAGACCTTCCCTCTTCTCTTGCTAGATGTTCCCATTGCTGTCCCAGATGTTCCCCTTCTCTTTCCAGATGTTATCCTTCTCTTTCCAGATGTTATCCTTCTCTTTCCAGATGTTCCCCTTCTCTTTCCAGATGTTTCCATTCTATTTGACGTTTCCATTCTATTTTCAGACGTTCCTCTTCTCCTCATTTTAGACGTTCCTCTTTCCTCACAGATGTTTCTCTTCTATTCCCAGACATTCCTCTTCCCATCCCAGATATTTCTCTTTTCTTGCCCAACACAGTCTCAATGCATAGACAAGACAATTGGCCAATGGTCTTTGTTGGTGTGCACTAACAAAATTCAGAACATTTTGGTAATTCTGCACAGCACGTTCCAAGGCTCTGCTGCACAAATCAGTCAAATCAGCTGTCAAGTTTAATAAAGTTAACAAAGAAAAATAACAAGTATTAGGCTGCATTGTACAAAGTATTACAGCACATGTGCACAACACACACCAGTGGGCACGTTATATGCAACTTAACGCATGCTCGCTGGTGTGAATGGACCCTTGGTGTCAGGGTTCTTCTGGTCCTCTAGTAGCTAATATCATGTTCCCAGCTGCAGGAACAGGTTCAGGCCAGGTGAAAGGAGCTTCCATAACCCTCAAGAGCCATTTATAGCCCATTATACCATTACCAACCACCAAAAACACCTCAGTTCAGTCTTCTTTATGGATTAAATGGTGAGATTTAGCTGAGATGTCCCCATGTTTCTTCAAATCCCAAACTCCAAATTTTGCTAATTTCTACCTCTGACCTTTTTTTTAATTGGATCATTGATTGTCTTTATTTGATGTTCTGGAATCTTCCCTTTTCATGAATGTCTTTGGTATTGAAAGTGATGATAAATTATGAAGTGTGTGGCCTGGTTGAGTGAACAATGTCCATCTCTCTTCCCAGTAAATTCAACCACCAGAACATTGTGCGTTGTATTGGCGTCAGTCTACAGGCTCTGCCGAGATTCATTCTCCTGGAACTGATGGCTGGAGGAGATCTGAAGTCCTTCCTGCGACAGACACGACCCAGATTGGTGAGAGGAACAGGCAACCTTAATGATGATTGGTTCATTGTGTCTAATGCATGTATAGAATATGTGTCAGAGGGACGCTTGGAGTACTGGTAATCAGTGGTGTGATATTGCAGAGTGTCAAACAAGTTCCAAAGGCTCCGTGATCCCAGCGGTGATCCCAGTGAGACCGCACTTGTATGACAGGTCCTCCCTAACTGGAGAACTCAGAATCAGAACTCAGAAAATAAAATAAAGAACACTAGCACAAAAGTGAGTCCAGTTTGGGTTTCGTTATTCATTGAAGAACTGAATAAACATACAACATGTTTTGAGGTTCTCTTCCCAGATATTCCAGTTCCCTCTGTATAATCAGTGGGATACACGTTGAGCTGATGGTGATTGCTAGAGCCTTGAGGAGGATAGTGAGGAGAGTCCAACTGGTTAAACCTGTATTCAACTGATTATACAAAGGGTGGGGGTCTGTAGGAGAGTTACAGTTAGTATATAAGGGCTAGCCTTGGCGAGAGGGTTAAAGTTCACAAGAACTAAGGTTAACATGAGAGAGAGTGAGAGTGATGATTAGGGTTAGAGTTAGGGCTCAATCATACTGTACCAGCCCCATCCGGCAGTGCTCAACACTGTCCTAATACATAGACAAGGTCATTTCCCAGACATTCCTCTTCTCCACAGACATTCCTCTTCTCCCCAGACATTCCCTTTCTCTCCACAGATGTTCCTCTTCTCTTCCCTGATGGTTCCCTTCTCTTTTCTAATGTTCCTCTTCTCTTCAAAGATGTTCATTTTCTCTTCCCAGATATCCCTCTCTCTTCCCAGATATCCCTCTTCTCTTTCCTGATGTTCCACTTTTCTACCCAGATGTTCCTCATCACTTCCCTGATATCCCTCCTCTCCATCCAGACATTCCTCTTCTCCTTCCAGATGTCCTCTTCCCAGAATCCCCTCTTTTCTTCCCAGATGTTCCTCTTCTGTTCCCAGACAATCCTCTTCTCTTCCAAGATATTCATCTTCTTCTTTCAGACATTCCTTTTCTCCTTTTAGATGTCCCTCATCTCTTCCCAGATGTCCCTCATCTCTTCCCAGATGTCCCCCATCTCTTCCCAGATGTCCCTCATCTCTTCCCAGATGCTCCTCTTCTCTTCTCCTCTTCCCAGATGTCCCTCATCTCTTCCCAGGTGTCCCTCATCAATTCCCAGATGTCCCTCTTCTCTTCCCAGATGTCCCTCATCTCTTCCCAGATGTCCCTCATCTCTTCCCAGATGCTCCTCTTCCCTTCCCAGAAGATCCTTTTCCCAGATGTCCCTCTTCTCTTCCCAGAATCCCCTCTTTTCTTCCCAGATGTTCCTCTTCTGTTTCCAGACAATCCTCTTCTCTTCCAAGATATTCGTCTTCTCCTTTCGGACATTCCTTTTCTCCTTTTAGATGTCCCTCTTCTCTTCCCAGATGTCCCTCTTCTCTTCCCAGATGTCCCTCTTCTCTTCCCAGATGTCCCTCTTCTCTTCCCAGATGTCCCTCTTCTCTTCCCAGATGTCCCTCATCTCTTCCCAGAGGTCCCTCATCTCTTCTCAGATGCTCCTCATCTCTTCCCAGATGACCCTCATCTCTTCCCAGATGCTCATCTTCCCTTCCCAGAAGATCCTCTTCCCAGTTGTTCCTCATCTCTTCCCAGATGTCCCTCTTCTCTTGCCAGACATTCCTCTTCTTCTGGATGTTGCTCTTTTCTTCCCAGATTTTCCTCTTCTCTTCTCAGATATCCCTCTTTTCATCCCAGATGTTCTTCTATTCCCAGTCATCCCTCTTCTGCATAGTGTAGGTGACAGGTTCTCTTTAAGGACACATCGGAGGTTTATTAGCCCTTCAATGTCCCCTGTACCCTATTAAAGCTAATTTAGCACGGACCCTAAATCCAGACGTGCTGGGCACCTCCAGGTTTCTTACTACTCCTGACACATGCCAGGGTCTAAGGAGGTCCCTGGCTCCCAGGTGGGACAGGTGAGTCCGAAAAACATGGTGAAGAGAGGGGGTCAGCTGGGGTGGCCGTCACCCTCCCAGCAGTGTAGAAGTGATCATTTCTACAAGAAAGCCTGCAGCTGGGACTAAACAGGTAAACAATTACTTGGCTGCTATAGTTTTACATGCCGACATCACTGTAACCCTTCCACCAGTCACAGGAAAAGGGGTCAACCCTCTCTTACTCTATCGAAACAATGAAAACAAGTTTTCCTTATACTTGGAATTATTATATTCATTGTCTTTATAAACTAGAGCTTTCCAATCAACAGGGAGCAGGAATTTGCCACTTGTAGAGCAACAGTCGTGACTCAGCAGACCTCTGCAGAGAGACCACCGCTTCCAAACATGATCCTTCTCTATGGTTTGGCAGCCTGAGAGTCAGTAGAACAGTCAGTTAATTGGTATTTTTAGGAGGTCAGACACAAGAGTTTCTCATTTTTATTTTAGTCAGCGTTTACGTTAACCTAACAGTGTGTCTGTTGCAGGGGCAGACTGACAACTCATGGAGCCCCGGGCAATAGGGGATCATGGGGCCACTTTTCTTCCCAGATGTTCCTCTTCTGTTCCCAGACAATCCTCTTGTCTTCCAAGATATTCGTCTTCTTCTTTCAGACATTCCTTTTCTCCTTTTAGATGTCCCTCTTCTCTTCCCAGATGTCCCTCTTCTCTTCCCAGATGTTCCTCATCTCTTCCCAGATGTCCCTCTTCTCTTCCCAGATGTCCCTCTTCTCTTCCCAGATGTCCCTCTTCTCTTCCCAGATGTCCCTCTTCTCTTCCCAGATGTCCCTCTTCTCTTCCCAGATGTCCCTCTTCTCTTCCCAGATATCCCTCTTTTCTTCCCAGATGTCCCTCTTTTCTTCCCAGATGTCCCTCTTCTCTTCCCAGATGTCCCTCTCTCTTTCCAGAAATCCCTCTTCTCTTTCCTGATGTTCCACTTTTTCTACCCAGATGTTCCTCATCACTTCCCTGATGCCCCTCTTGCCTTCCCTGATATCCCTCCTCTCCATTCAGACATTCCTCTTCTCCTTCCAGATGTCCATCTCTTCCCAGAATCCCCTATTTTCTTCCCAGATGTTCCTCTTCTGTTCCCAGACAATCCTCTTCTCTTCCAAGATATTCGCCTTCTTCTTTCAGACATTCCTTTTCTCCTTTTAGATGTCCCTCTTCTCTTCCCAGATGTCCCTCATCTCTTCCCAGATGTCCCTCATCTCTTCTCAGATGTCCCTCATCTCTTCCCAGATGCTCCTCTTCTCTTCCCAGATGTCCGTCATCTCTTCCCAGATGTCCCTCATCTCTTCCCAGATGTCCCTCTTCTCTTCCCAGGTGCCCAGACTGACAACTCATGGGGCCCCCGGGCAATAGGGGATCATCGGGCCACTGTGTCCTTGCCCAAACTCAAACCACACCCAAAAAAGCCTATGAAAGGTACCAGGGACATCACATGGGGCCCCCTACTGACCCCGGGCCCTCGGGCAGTGCCGGAGTTCCACAATGGTCAGTTCCCCCCTGGTCTGTGGATTCTGTGAGGAAACGCAACCATTCAGAGTCAACCCAGGAAAAGGTGGGGAGAGCCTACAGATTCCATGCAGATAGTAACCTGCTGGAAGTAGATGCCAGAATCCCAGCGCCTTACGACCACTAAGCCGTCACGCTGCCCTTGATATAAAGATGCAACCAGAAGCCCAGAAGGAAAAATACGACAAGCAAGGTAATAAAAGTTGCCGAAGATCCTGAGCAAGCCGACAAACTAAAGGCACGTAAAGATGAATAACCTATTGAATGAAAACGTCTTTCAGTCTCTGCGGCTTTATGGAGTGCAGGGATGCAGAGACGTTATCTGAACATGTCACCATATAACTCTCTGCTCCCCCTCAGGGGCCTTGGCACCTCAGAGCCTACCAGCAGATGTTTATTTCCAGGAATTGGCAGCTGTCCGGCCCCAGCCCAGAAGAAGAATGGTCCCCGTTCCAGCAGTGCGACGGAACCCCGCCGGCCGCGGTACCTCTCTCTCCCTAATCCTCTGTCAGCCTGCCAGCCTGGCATTGTCAGAGACAATTATTCTCATAAATAGCCCTTAGCACAGCAGCCTCCATTTTATGGGACTTTCAGGCCCATTATAGCAGCGGCTCTCCAAGAATTGAGAAGAAGGAAATGGACTCTAATTCCAGGGAACCGCATTACGCCATTTATCACAAAAGTGTCTGCCAGCATCGGGTTCCATTTTTCTTAGTTTTGTTTCTTCCGAAACCCCTTCCATACAGTGAACTCTGCAGGGGACATTACAGGTTAGGATTGGTCCACCCAAAGCTGAACTTTCTGTCCACATGTTTATGGACTGAGATGTCTATACCCCTGCGTTCACATCTATGCCCACCGCCAACCTTCCGAACAAGTCTTGATGGATTTTTGGTTGCAGGTGGACTGGGAACTTCAGAGGAACATTCTTGCCACTATAGTGCCCAGGACATATAAAATTATGGGTATTATACCTATGGCCAAAATACCAGTTGTGGGTGGACTGGCCCTTTCAGGGCTCCATAGGTTTACAACATAACTCCACCTTTAACATAGACTTGTGGCTCCTCGCCACCCTGATAATCATGGTATGTTAGCATTGAATGTCAAGTGGTTAGCACTGTTCGTCCTCAGAGTTCCCAACATGGAGAGCAATGCCTTTACTCCTCCTAACACTAACCCTCCCTGTAACCCCAACACCAACCCTCCCTGTAACCCCAACACTAACCCTTCCTGTAACCCCAACACCAACCCTCCCTGTAACCCCAACACCGAACCCTCCCTGTAACCCCAACTCCAACCCTCCCTGTAACCCCAACACTAACCCTCCCCCCCCTGTAACCCCAACATCAACCCTCCCTGTAACCCCAACACTGGCCCTCCCTGTAACCCCAACACTGACCCTCCCTGTAACCCCAACACTGACCCTCCCTGTAACCCCAACACCGACCCTCCCTGTAACCCCAACACCAACCCTCCCTGTAACCCCAACACTAACCCTTCCTGTATTCCAAAACTAATCCTCCCTGCAACCCTAACACTAACCCTCCCTGTAACCCCAACTGTAATCCTCCCTGTAACCCCAACACCAACCTTCCCTGTAACCCCAACACCAACCTTCCCTGTAACCCCAACATCAACCCTCCCTGTAACCCCAACACCAACCCTCCCTGTAACCCCAACACTAACCCTTCCTGTATTCCAAAACTAATCCTCCCTGCAACCCCAACACTAACCCTCCCTGTAACCCCAACACTGACCCTCTCTGCAACCATAACACCAACCCCCTCCCTGTACCCCAACACCAACCCTCCCTGTAACCCCAACACTGACCCTCCCTGTAACCCCAACACTAACACTCCCTGTAACCCCAACACCAACCTTCCCTGTAACCCCAACATCAACCCTTCCTGTAACCCCAACACTAATCCTCCCTGCAACCCTAACACTAACCCTCCCTGTAACCCCAACACTAGCCCTCTCTTTAACCCCAACTCTAACGCTGCTTGTAACCGCAACACTGACCCTCCCTGTCACCCCAACACTAACCTTCACACTAACCCTCTCTGTACCCCAATACTAATCATCTCTCTAACCCTCTCTGTAGCCCTACCACAACAAACCCTCCTCATAAACTTAACAATAACCCTCCCTGCAACCTCAACATTAACAACTTCCTGTAATCCCAACACCAATCCTCTCTGTAACCCCAACAATAATCCTCCCTGTACCCCAACACTGACACTCCCTGTAACCCCAACACTGACACTCCCCATAACCCCAACAATGACCCTCCCTGTAACCTTCACACTGTAAGCACTAACATCAACTCTCCCTGTAACCCCAACACCGAGCCTCCCTGTAACCCCAACACCGAGCCTCCCTGTAACACCGACCCTCCCTGTAACCCCAACACTAACCCTCCCTGTAACCCCAACACTGAGCCTCCCTGTAACCCCAACACTAACCCTCCCTGTAACCCCAACACCGAGCCTCCCTGTAACCCCAACACTGACCCTTCCTGTAACCCCAACACTGACCCTTCCTGTAACCCCAACACTAACCTCCCTGTAACCCTAACACTAACACTCCCTGTAACCCCAACACCGAGCCTCCCTGTAACCCCAACACCGAGCCTCCCTGTAACCCCAACACCGACCCTCCCTGTAACCCCAACACCGACCCTCCCTGTAACCCTAAGGCCAACCACACAACTATGCATTGCAGTAAAGCGTGTCACCACAACACCCACCAACGCTCTTAATTTTTATTCTGAATTGTTTTTATATAATCCGGATAACACAGAAGCCACATTCCCGGCTCTGACTGAATCCACAAATTCTTAAACATCTTTATTCACAAATTTGGTTTTGCATGCTCTGAGCTGAAGTGTAACACCAGCCTAAGCCATGTAGCTCCAGTTTTGCTGTATTCACTGAGGCTGTGATCCCTCATTAGGACTTAAATGATGTCCAGGACCCCAAACAAAAAAAAAGCCTTGGACATGTTGTGCCTGAGTGTGTCTTTTTAGCCAAGCTACCATTGTCACCAGCCTATGACTTCTCCATGGATTACTACGGGGAATTGTTTTGCCTCATGATATCAAATGGGTTTTTCTTAGACATGCAGTTTATATTCTCCTTCCGGTGGCATCATCACGCCTAAGCTCTGCTTCTGATGGCATAATCACGCCTAAGCTCACCTTCCGGTGATGCCATCACGCCTAAAGCTCTCTCATTCCTGTGGTGTCATCAAGCCTAAGCATTATAGGTAACGCTCCTTCAGCGTTACCTATAATGCTAACCCCCCCCTACTCCCCCTCTCTGTTGGGGTCCCTCAAGGCTCTGTCCTCGGGCCCCTTCTCTTCTCCATCTACACCTCCTCCCTTGGCCAACTCATACACTCTCACGGCTTCAACTACCACCTCTATGCCGACGACACACAAATCTATCTCTCAACCCCCCACCTCACCCCCTTGGTCTCAGCCCGAATCACACACCTACTGAGTGACATATCAGACTGGATGTCGCTCCACTTCCTTAAATTGAACCTCTCCAAAACCGAGTTTTCTTGTCTTCCCCCCAGCCTGGACACCACCCCCCATTGATTTCTCCGTCACATCCAACAACGCTACCATCAAACCCGCCCCGCAGGCCAGAGTACTGGGTGTCATTCTGGACTCCAACCTATCCTTCCAGCCCCAAGTCCAATCTTTAACAAACTCGTGCCGCCTCCACCTCCGCAACATGCAGACTCCACCTCCGCAACATGCAGACTCCACCTCCGCAACATCGCCAAAATCCGCACGTTCCTAACCCCAGAAACCACTAAACAGCTCATCCACTCCCTCATCATATCACGACTCGACTACTGCAACTCCCTCCTCACTGGCCTGCCTCGCCGCTGGCTATCCCCTCTTCAGTCCATCCCTGAAACACGGCTGCCAGACTCATTCACCTTTCCAACCGCTCTGTCTCCGCCACCCCCCTCTGCCAATCCCTCCACTGGCCTCCACTCAGTGTCCTCCACCCCCCTCTGCCAATCCCTCCACTGGCTTCCGATTGTGCAACGGATCAAATTCAAAATCCTAACGCTGACGTACAAAGCTGTGCACCATACTGCCCCGAACTACATCACCGACCTAATATCCAAGTACCGCCCAGTACGCACACTCCGCTCCTCACAAGACCTCCTTCTCTCTAGTTCCCTGGTCTCCTCCTCCCATGCCCGCCTCCAGGACTTCTCCAGGGTGTCACCCATCCTCTGGAACTCCCTGCCCCAACCCATCAGATTATCACCTACTCTCCTCTCCTTTAGGCGCACCCTGAAAACCCATCTCTTCAGGGAAGCCTACCCCACCCCCTGCTAACTTGCCTCCCTCCTCCACTCTTCCTACCACTCTCCCATCCCCCACAGCTATCTCCTCCTGTGCCACCACCCCCTCCCTCCTAGATTGTAAGCTCGAAAGAGCAGGGCCCTCAATCCCCTCATGTTTTGCATTGTATTGGTATTGTTTTGTCACATGTTCTGTCTCCCTTTGTAATGTACAGCGCTGAGCCTAAACTATTGGCGCTTTATAAATACTGTATAATAAATAATAAGCTGTCCTTCTGGTAGTGTCATCACACATAAGCTCTCTTTTCGGTGGTATCATCATGTCTAAGCTCTCCCTCTGGTGGTATCATCATGTCTAAGCTCTCCCTCTGGTGGTGTCATCACGCCTAAGCTCTCCTTCCCGTGGCGTCATCACACCTAATCTCTCCTTCCCCTGAGGTCATCCCGCCTAAGCTCTCCTAGTGGTGGCGTTGTTATACATAAGCTTTCTTTCCATGGGGTCATCACGCCTCAGCTCTCCTTCTGGTGGCATCATCACACATAAGTTCTGTTTCCAGTGGCGTCATCACACCTAAGCTCTCCTTCCAGTGGCGTCATCACGCCTAAGCTCTCCTTCCAGTGGCGTCATCATGCCTAGGCTCTCCTTCTGGTGACAACATCACACATATAAGCTCTCTTTCTGGTGGCATCATCACGCCTAAGCTCTCCTTCCAGTGGCATCATCACACATAAGCTCTCCTTCCAGTGGCGTCATCTCGCCTAAGCTCTCCTTCCGGTGATGTCATCATCATCACGCCTAAGCTCTCCTTCTGGTGATGTCATCATGCTTAAGCTCTCCTTCTGGTGACGTCATCACGCCTAGGCTCACGCTGTGGTCCACAGTACGCTTCAGCCCTCTCCTTGGATGTTTTATGTCTAGTTTCTGTCCATGACAGCTGCATACGTTGAATATTATGGCTTTCTGCTCCCCTTGAAATGATTATGTCAGTTGGCGATGGGCCTTCTCCATTGTTTTACATGTAAGTGGCCATTTTTCTGGTGTAATAAAATATCTTTCAGTTGTCTACACTTCGAGGCGCTTCTCTTCTTTTTTGTTTCCTTGACATACAGTTTATGGCCAACAGTTTGTGGACATCTGACCACCACGTCTTTCTCCATGGCCAGTCATCTTGAGGCGCCCCCCTTAGGCTGTATCAGATTCCAATCTTCTTGGAAGACTCTCCACAAGATTTTGGAGGGTGTCTGTGGGAATTGTGAGGTCAGGTCCTGGTGTCGGATGAGAAGACCTGGCTCACACGTCAGGCCCAAATAAAAGACTTGGCTTGCAATTGACATCTGTGTTTGTGCCGGACAATATAAAGTCGCCCCCCCCTCCCCCCCCCCACCCTGACCATTGATTATAGTATTGTCTCAATATTTTCAATTATTAGTAGAAGGAAAGCTCACAAAATTGCCAAGCCAGGTGCCAGGTGTGTGGCCGGCGGTGCAGACCTAGGAGGACAGGTATGGGGTGGGATGGTGAATCCATAAATGTTCATCTCTTTGCAGAACCAGCCTTCCTCCCTCAGTATGCTGGACCTGCTCAACGTGGCCCGTGACATCGCCAAGGGCTGCCAGTACCTGGAGGAGAACCACTTCATTCACAGGTAAGGAAGGCCAGGAGGTGCATTTACAGCGATCCCTTCAGTAACTTTACGAGTCTCCAGAAATGAATCCCCGCCATGTCACGGTATACAGAACACGAGCATTATTCCCGAGAGCTTCACCTTTCATCAATAAATAGCTGCCCTGGAGCTCCAGTTGGTGACTTTACCAAGGCTGAGATGATGACTCCTGTCTGCTGCAGGCAGGAGGAAGCATTTCCTCAGTCTCCCCTCCCCCAGTGATCAGACTGTACATTGTAACTTTGCAGAAGGAAGAGGAGGCATTTCCTCAGTCTTCCCTCCCCCAGTGATCAGACTGTACATTGTAACTTTGTAGAAGAAGGAGGAGGCATTTCTTCAGTCTCCCCTCCCCCAGTGATCAGACTGTACATTGTAACTTTGTAGAAGGAGGAGGAAGCATTTCCTCAGTCTCCCCTCCCCCAGTGATCAGACTGTACATTGTACATTGTAACTTTGCAGAAGGAAGAGGAGGCATTTCCTCAGTCTTCCCTCCCCCAGTGATCAGACTGTACATTGTAACTTTGTAGAAGGAGGAGGAGGCATTTCTTCAGTCTCCCCTCCCCCAGTGATCAGACTGTACATTGTAACTTTGTAGAAGGAGGAGGGGGCATTTCCTCAGTCTCCTCCCCCAGTGATCAGACTGTACATTGTAACTTTGTAGAAAGAGGAGGAGACATTTCCTCAGTCTTCCCTCCCCCAGTGATCAGACTGTACGTTGTAACTTTGTAGAAGAAGGAAGAGGGGGCATTTCCTCAGTCTCCTCCCCCAGTGATCAGACTGTACATTGTAACTTTGTAGAAAGAGGAGGAGACATTTCCTCAATCTCTTTCCCCAGTGATCAGACTGTACATTGTAACTTTGTAGAAGGAGGAGGAGGCATTTCCTCAATCTCCCCTCCCCTAGTGATCACACACAGTATATATATATATATATATAGTGTATAGTGTGTGTGTGTTATATATATATATATATATATATATATATATATACTGTATTTAATAATATTCTAAATATATATATATACTGTGTGTGTATGTGTATAGTGTGTGTATATATATATATACTGTATTAATATTCTAAATATATATATATATATACATACACTGTGAATATTAATAAATATATAATAATAATAGTTAATTTCATGAATTAATTATAATATTAATAAATGAATAATATATGAATATTGAATCAAATAATCCGAGACTGTAGAGAGCGCTGCAAGCTGTCCGCAGATCTCTCCATCGAATCTCTTGATGGTCGGGACAAGAATCCGCATGCGTGTCACAGCGCGCTATTGACCGAAGGTGACCTTATTAAAGCAATCGATCGCTTCATTTCAGGGACATCGCTGCAAGGAACTGTCTGCTGACATGCCAGGGTCCCGGCAGAATCGCAAAGATCGGCGACTTCGGAATGGCCCGCGACATCTACAGGTAACCCTCCTAACAAGGACGTCACGGTGAGGGAAGGAGATCGTCTGATTTCCTGAGTACAAAATAAATACTTTTTGGACGACTCCTTTCTTCACACGGGAAAGGCTGATGAGCTCACAAATGATAATGAACGTTCCTGTAAAGAGAACCTGTCATGGCCGGAATTATCAAGGAACTTCAGGACATAGTTACATAGTTAGTCTGGCTGAAAAAAAGACAAAAGTCCATCCAGTTCAACCATTAAAAAAAAAAAAGTAATAATCCTCCACCCACAGTTGATCCAGAGGAAGGCAAACAAACCCAGCAAAGCACGATCCAATTTGCTCCTGCAGGGGAAATAATTCCTTCCTGATCCCCCCGAGAGGCAATCGGATATTCCCTGGATCAACGTTCCCTATAAATGTTATATCCAGTTATATTCTGTGTATCCAAGAAAGAATCCAGGACTTTCCTACAGCAATCCACTGAGCTGGCCACAACCAACTCTGGAGGGAGTCTATTCCACATTCTCACAGCTCTTACTGTGAAGAAACCTTTCCGTGTTTGGAGATGACATTTCTTTTCCTCCACACATAAAGAGCGCCCCCTTGTCCTCTGTGATGGCGATAGAACAAATCATTGAAATCAGTTATTTTTCCCCTTGTAAGTGCAATACAAAGTGTGGACATCAGGGAGGGAGAAGATACATTCCCGATATAAAATTCCACGTCTTCATCAGATTGGACAATAAGGCTCAGATATCGGGAGACAACAAAATCGCACATTCTCCCTCCAGACACGCAGAGAAACACGCAACCCTCAGTGTATGCCCTTACGTCCTCCAGCACACGGGATGTTTTCACAGCGGCTGTTTTTGGCTTTTGATGTTTAGATTGTAATCAACATTTTTTGGCTGGAAAAAAAAAGTGCGAAAAAATGCAGCAAAACGCTAATACAAAAATGCTAAAAAACGGTTTTTTTGGCTGGAAAAAACCCAGGACTAGAGGGTGTCTAGAGGAGTTTTGTAGCTGTAAAAAACGCTCTAACGCTGAAAAATGTGGCAAAACGCAATAAACCTCTAAAAACCGCAAACGCGAAAAATGCGGCAAAACGCTAATACAAAAATGCTATTTCCATTCCCCAATGACACCAACAATAGGGCCCAATAACACCAATGCTGGGACACTATTCCTCCCACTGACACCAATGATGGGGCACTATTCCTCTCACCGACACCAATGATGGGGCACTATTCCTCCCACTGATACCAATGATGGGGCACTATTCCTCCCACTGACACCAATGATGGGGCACTATTCCTCCCACTGACACCAATGATGGGGCACTATTCCTCCCACTGACACCAATGATGGGGCACTATTCCTCTCACTGACACCAATGATGGGACACTATTCCTCCCACTGACACCAAGGATGGGGCACTATTCCTCCCACTGACACCAATGATGGGGCACTATTCCTCCCACTGACACCAATGATGGGGCACTATTCCTCCCACTGATACCAATGATGGGGCACTATTCCTCCACTGACACTAATGATGGGACCACACTATTCCTCCCACTGACACCAATGATGGGGCACTATTCCTCCCACTGACACCAATGATGGGGCACTATTCCTCCCACTGATACCAATGATGGGACACTATTCCTCCCACTGACACCAATGATGGGGCACTATTCCTCCCACTGACACCAATGATGGGGCACTATTCCTCCCACTGACACCAATGATGGGGCACTATTCCTCCCACTGACACCAATGATGGGGCACTATTCCTTCCACTGACACAAATGATGGGGCACTATTCCTCCACTGACACCAATGATGGGGACACTATTCCTCCCACTGACACCAATGATGGGACACTATTCCTTCCACTGATACCAATGACGGGGCACTATTCCTCCCACTGACACCAATGACGGGGCACTATTCCTCCACTGACACCAATGATGGGATACTATTCCTTCCACTGATACCAATGACGGGGGCACTATTCCTCCCACTGACACCAATGACGGGGCACTATTCCTCCCACTGACACCAATGACAGGGCACTATTCCTCCCACTGATACCAATGATGGGGCACTATTCCTCCACTGACACCAATGATGGGGCACTATTCCTTCTACTGATACCAATGACGGGGCACTATTCCTCCCACTGACACCAATGACGGGGCACTATTCCTCCCACTGATACCAATGATGGGGCACTATTCCTCCACTGACACCAATGATGGGACACTATTCCTTCCACTGATACCAATGACGGGGCACTATTCCTCCCACTGACACCAATGACGGGGCACTATTCCTCCCACTGATACCAATGATGGGGCACTATTCCTCCACTGACACCAATGATGGGACACTATTCCTCCCACTGACACCAATGATGGGGCACTATTCCTCTCACTGACACCAATGATGGGACACTATTCCTCCCACTGACACCAATGATGGGACACTATTCCTCCCACTGACACCAATGATGGGACACTATTCCTCCCACTGACACCAATGATGGGGCACTATTCCTCCCACTGACACCAATGATGGGGCACTATTCCTCTCACTGACACCAATGATGGGACACTATTCCTCCCACTGACACCAATGATGGGACACTATTCCTCCCACTGACACCAATGATGGGACACTATTCCTCCCACTGACACCAATGATGGGGCACTATTCCTCCCACTGACACCAATGATGGGGCACTATTCCTCCCACTGATACCAATGATGGGGCACTATTCCTCCCACTGACACCAATGATGGAGCACTATTCCTCCCACTGACACCAATGATGGGACACTATTCCTCCCACTGACACCAATGATGGGACACTATTCCTCCCACTGACACCAATGATGGGGCACTATTCCTCCCACTGACACCAATGATGGGGCACTATTCCTCCCACTGATACCAATGATGGGGCACTATTCCTCCCACTGACACCAATGATGGGGCACTATTCCTCCCACTGACACCAATGATGGGGCACTATTCCTCCCACTGACACCAATGATGGGGCACTATTCCTCCCACTGACACCAATGATGGGGCACTATTCCTCCCACTGACACCAATGATGGGGCGCTATTCCTCCCACTGACACCAATGATGGGGCGCTATTCCTCCCGCTGACACCAATGATGGGGTTCTATTCCTCCCACTGACACCAATGATGGGGCACTATTCCTCCCACTGACACCAATGATGGGGCACTATTCCTCCCACTGACACCAATGATGGGGCACTATTCCTCCCACTGACACCAATGATGGGGCACTATTCCTCCCACTGATACCAATGATGGGGCATTATTCCTTCCACTGATACCAATAATGGGGCACTATTCCTCCCACTGACACCAATGATGGGGCACTATTCCTCCCACTGACACCAATGGTGGGGCACTATTCCTCCCACTGACACCAATGATGGGACACTATTCCTCAATGACACAACAAAGGGGCACAGTTCCATCCAATGACACCAATAATTGGGCCCAATAACACCAATGATGGGGCACAATTCCTCCCACCGACACCAACGATGGAGCCCAGTTCCTCTCATTAGCACCACAAATGGGGCATTGTTTGCTCTCACTGATACTGGGACATTTTCTATTCCGGATGTCCACAGTCCAGCCCCCCTAAAGTCTGAGGAACAGTAAACTGGCCCTTTGTTTATAAAGTTTAGAGACCCCGGTCTTAGACCATAGAGATGATCAGGGACGTTCCGGAAGCTCCGCCCCCTCCCGCCACTTGTAAAAGCAATCCAGCAGCTATTTAGCCAATAGGATTACTTTTACAAGACGGAGCTCTGCTGGATCTAACAATACCCTTTATATCTTTTACTGTTCATGTTGCAATGAATGAAGAATGTCCGTATCTTGTTCCTCAGGGCCAGTTACTACAGGAAAGGAGGGTGCGCCATGCTGCCAGTGAAGTGGATGCCCCCCGAGGCCTTCATGGAAGGAATATTCACATCCAAGACTGACACATGGTAAGTCCATACAGGGGGTGGAAAACCATCATGCAACTTGGGGGCTGTACCTGGGTCACCTGTATGATCAAGGGACCTTCAGGTCTACTCTCTGGGGTCAGTTGGTCAATGACCATCATTAGTCAGTTGGTTGATTGATGACCATCAGTAGTGAGTTGGTTGATGACCATCAGTAGTGAGTTGGTTGATGACCATCAGTAGTCAGTTGGTTGATGACCATCATTAGTCAGTTGGTTGAGGACCATCAGTAGTGAGTTGGTTGATGACCATCATTAGTCAGTTGGTTGATGACCATCAGTAGTGAGTTGGTTGATGACCATCATTAGTCAGTTGGTTGATGACCATCATTAGTCAGTTGGTTGATGACCATCAGTAGTGAGTTGGTTGATGACCATCAGTAGTGAGTTGGTTGATGACCATCATTAGTCAGTTGGTTGATGACCATCATTAGTCAGTTGGTTGATGACCATCAGTAGTCAGTTGGTTGATGACCATCAGTAGTCAGTTGGTTGATGACCATCATTAGTCAGTTGGTTGATGACCATCAGTAGTGAGTTGGTTGATGACCATCAGTAGTCAGTTGGTTGATGACCATCATTAGTCAGTTGGTTGATGACCATCAGTAGTCAGTTGGTTGCACACGTTTATAACAGTTGCCTAAATCGCCGTCTAAAAACGTGCCTCCAGCAATAGTAAATACTCCTCCCACTGCCTGCACCACTGTAATCTGAGCAAACCCACCGCTTAAACTGTCTTCTGAAGCCAACACTTCTGGGAGCAGGGCTGCTCTGCCAGTGTCCGGCAACTGCAAAGCACGCAGTTGTGGTGCGTTAGTGTGGGGTTAAAGCCTTCTCACCACCTGTCAAATGTTCTCTGAAGGGCAATCCAAATGCTGACTGCTGTTCAGACAAGCCTGTCTTTCTTTAATACATTTTTATAGTTTTAATTTTTTTTTTTTTACTTTTTTTATAATTTTATTATTTATTTATTTATTTTATTTTTTACAAGTTCTTAACATTTCATTATTTATTTTATTTTTTTTATAGTTTTATTTTTTTTTTTAAATAATTTTATTATTTATTTATTTAGTACATTTTCTTACAATTTTATTATTTATTTGTTTTATTTTTATAGGTTTTTTTTTTTTAAATAATTTTATTATTTATTTTATTTTTTACTTTTTATAATTTCTTAAAATGTTATTATTTATTTTATTTTTATAGTTTTAATTTTATTTTTACTCTTTTTTTTTTTTTAATAAATTTATTATTTATTTAATTTAAAAAAAAAATTTTTACAATTTCTTAAAAATTTATTATTTATTTATTTTATTTTTCTACATTTTTAAAATTTTATTTTTCTACGTTTTTTTTTTTTTATTTTATTTTTTAACTGCCCTTTCAGTGGGCTTTGGTGAAACATCAGGGCTCTAAAGAGACCCCCTGATGTCTCACATTTGACGGAGGACAGAGATTCCCCAGCCTCCTTTCTCTGCAACCTCAGCTGCAGTGGACAGTGAATGAATGAGAAGGTCTCCGGGCTGAGAGGCTTCCTGTTCATTCACAGATTGAAGTATAGGAGACACAGTTTACTATGCTTCAGTGTTGAATGGACACAGTGAGTGATCAGTACTGAGTGTTCATTCTAGAAAGAAAGGGTCGGTAATTAACGTATGTACCGTCCCCTTCGCCCGCTCTCTATCTATGATCCCCCTGTGTGCCGGCAGGAGAGGAGGGAAGCCGGAAGTGCCGCATTGGAGGGGTGCACACGGGGGGAGGGGTGGGGCCCGGGCAGTGGGTGGAAGGGATCCCCCTGCAGCACAGCCAATAAGAGAAAGCCAGCAGCGCTGCAGGGGGATCCACAAGAGTGTCAAGGCAGTACAGCCGGCCCTCCTGCTCCGTAGGTGCCCTAGTACCCTCTTTGAACTGATGGGGCCCGGACCTGGAGGGCCGGCTGTACTGCTCTATCAGCGGTCCTTTTTCTGGGAATGTCAGATGCCTTGTCCTCCACCCACCCCTACATCAATACTGCATCCTGCAGGGACTCGGAGGCTGGTGGGGGGAATATGACACCAATGATGGGGCACAGTTCTGCCCAATGACACCAACAATTGAACCCAATATTATCAATAATATCAATGATGGGGCACAGCAGAGTAGCCAGGGTCCTGATTATGTGCCCACGTGGGTGCCATGTGCAGAGTGGCCAGGGTCCTGATTATGTGCCCACATGGTGCCATGGGTGCCAGGGTCCTGATTATGTGCCCACGTGGGTGCCATGTGCAGAGTAGCCAGGGTCCTGATTATGTGCCCACGTGGGAGCCATGTGCAGAGTAGCCAGGGTCCTGATTATGTGCCCACGTGGGTGCCATGTGCAGAGTAGCCAGGGTCCTGATTTATGTGCCCACGTGGGTGCCATGTGCAGAGTGGCCAGGGTCCTGATTATGTGCCCACGGGGGGTGCCATGTGCAGAATGGCCAGGGTCCTGATTATGTGCCCAGGTGGGTGCCATGTGCAGAGTAGCCAGGGTCCTGATTATGTGCCCACGTGTGTTCCATGTGCAGAGTAGCCAGGGTCCTGATTATGTGCCCAGGTGGGTGCCATGTGCAGAGTAGCCAGGGTCCTGATTATGTGCCCACGTGGGTGCCATGTGCAGAGTAGCCAGGGTCCTGATTATGTGCCCAGGTGGGTGCCATGTGCAGAGTAGCCAGGGTCCTGATTATGTGCCCACGTGGGTGCCATGTGCAGAGTAGCCAGGGTCCTGATTATGTGCCCACGTGTGTTCCATGTGCAGAGTGGCCAGGGTCCTGATTATGTGCCCACGTGGGTGCCATGTGCAGAGTGGTCAGTTTGCTAGGATTGTGCCCACGTGGGTGCCATGTTTAGGGCGAGCATGTGCAGTGAGGTCGTTATCATTATGTGTGTGGTTGGGTGCCATACATAGAGTGCACATGCTCATTGTACCCCTTGTGCAAGGAACCATGGGACACGTAGTCCCAATGCATTGTATCATACCACTGGCTGAGTGTGCGCTCCCTAACCAGGGGTGATGTTCAGCAGACACTGGGACACGGCGGGGACACGGAGATCTTTCAGAAGAGAAATGTGTTTTGGTGTGTAATGAATGGAGGATGTTCTTACTGCCGCCCTCTCTTCTCTCCTCCCTCTCCAGGTCTTTCGGGGTTCTGCTGTGGGAGATCTTCTCATTGGGATACATGCCGTACCCCAGTAAGAGCAACCAGGAGGTGCTGGAGTTCGTCACTAGCGGAGGAAGGATGGATCCACCCAAGAACTGCCCGGGCCCCGTGTACGAGCCTTCGTGTCTTACTGACAACCTACCAGAGTCCAGAGTCCTTCTTAATTCCTTTTTAAAATACATTAGGAAACCAACCTATTCCACCAATAGTTCCAAGCCCGACGCGTTTCGTGGCTTCAACCGCTGCTTCTTCAGTGACCGAACGTGACTGTGAAATAGCGAGCAGATATTGGGTTTGAGGTGATGTCACCTGGAGCCGGCGCTGGAAGATTTGCATGAGGGGGCTATTGGCCGGGACTGGATTTGTTGCTAGTTGGTATCTACTCTGTTCCCGCCATGTGCTTTGACACCATTATCCCCCCCCCGCCTGGGGAAGGGTTGGGGTCATCCTCACCGTTGGTGGCCCTCTGGTGGTGGGGGGTATTAATCAGACCACATATCTGCCTGCTGTTGAAAATTGTGACATTTTTCGTTTTCGGTCCCTGAAGAAGTGTCAATTCAAGCTGTGAAACGCGTCGGACTTTTGATATTACAGACTGTGATCAATAAAATTAGTATGGGGAAAGGAACTCAGCCCCGGCTCCACCCAGGCAACACCGCCAGCGCGTTTCACTCCGCCCTGAGGGCATAGTCTTGGAGCATGACTAAGCTACAGGGGTGGAGCGAAACGCATTGAGCCATTAATATGGAGTTGCCCCCCTCCATGGCCATTAATATGATGTTGCTTCCTCCCCCCATGATCAATAATATGAAGTTGCCCCCCTCCCCCCATGGCCATTAATATGGTTTTGCCTCCCCCGTGGTCATTAGTATGGAGTTGTCTCCTCCCCCCATGGCCATTATTATGGATTTGCCCCCCTTCTCCCATGGCCATTAATTAGGTGTTGCCTCCTCCCCCTTGGTCATTAATATGGAGTTGCCCCCCCTCCTCCCATGGTCATTATTATGGAGTTGCCCCCTCCCCCCATGGTCATTAATATGGATTTGCCCCCTCCACCCATGGTCATTAGTATGGAGTTGTCTCCTCCCCCCATGGCCATTATTATGGAGTTGCCCCCTCCCCCCATGGTCATTAATATGGAGTTTCCCCCTCCACCCATGGTCATTAATATGGAGTTGTCTCTTCCCCCCATGGTCATTAGTATGGAGTTATCTCCTCCACCCATGACCATTATTATGGAGTTGCCCCCTCCCCCCATGGTCATTAATATGGAGTTGCCCCCCCTCCACCCATGGCCATTAATATGGAGTTGCCTCCTCCCTCCATGATCAATATTATAAAGTTGCCCCCTCCCCTAATGTCCATTATTAGGAGTTGCCCCCTCCCCCCATGGTCATTAATATGGAGTTGCCCCCTCCACCCATGGCCATTATTATGGAGTTGCCCCCTCCCCCCATGGTCATTATATGGAGTTGCCCCCTCACCTAATGTCCATTATTATGGAGTTGCCTCCTCCCCCCATGGTCATTAATATGGAGTTGCCCCCTCCCCCATTGCCATTATTATGGAGTTGCCCCCTCCCCCCATGGTCATTAATATGGAGTTGCCCCCTCCACCCATGGTCATTAGTATGGAGTTATCTCCTCCACCCATGGCCATTAATATGGAGTTGCCTCCTCCCTCCATGATCAATAATATAAAGTTGCCCCCTCCCCCCATGTCCATTATTAGGTGTTGCCTCCCCCCCATGGCCATTAATATGGAGTTGCATAACTAAGCTCCAGGGGTGGAGCGAAATGCGTTGGTGGGCGTGGCCTGATTGGAGCCCAGGCTGAGGCTGTTACACTGATGTTTGGAGCTGGAACGAGCTTGGTCCTACCCGCCACCCACAGGGATTGGCACCCACAGGATTGGCACCCACAGGGATTGGCACCCACAGGGATTGGCACTCACAGGGATTGGCACCCACAGGATTGGCACCCACAGGGATTGGCACACAGGATCCTGCAGAGTCGGAGCGACACCCACAACTTTTGCTTTTGGTTCACAATAAAATGTGTACTTCAATGCTATAGGTACGCAAGTCCCTGATTGGTGGGATCGGTTGGTTCCATACATGTTTGGACCGTTATTCTGGGATTTGATTTTTGTACTAAACTTCCTATTTCAAGCTAGTCATGTGACATGATTCTTATTTCACTCCTCCCCTTCCCTGGCCTGGGGACAATTTCTTGCTGATGCTGACACCGCACCCCTATCTGCTTCAATGCACTACCGTGGTACCGCCCCCACTGGGGGTGGAGTCATGACACCCTGCATTCATTGGACGCCTCAGTCTCCTGCCTTAAATGATTTTGGAAGACTGAGGACATCTTATGGTGAAACAGCAGTACTGCGGGGGACAGCTTCTTGAGCTCCTTTTTTTTTTTTTTTTTGCACTCGGCCCATTTTAACTGAAAAACAAAAAAAAAAAAAAAAAAGAAAAATCTCCCGGGATAGTCGGGATTTACTGATCTGTGTCGGAATTAGTGGAGTTTTGTCCATTTTTAAATGTTTGCTCTTCTTTACACTGCAGCTACCGAATCATGACCCAGTGCTGGCAGCACCAACCTGAAGACCGCCCTCCGTTCTCCATGGTCCTGGAGAGAATCGAATACTGCACACAGGTACTCATCATGGCCATTCATATGGAGTTGCCCCCCCCCCTCCCCCATGTCATTAATATGCAGTTGCCCCCCCCCATGGTCATTAATATGGAGTTGCCCCCCCCTCCCCCATGGTCATTAATATGCAGTTGCCCCCCCCATGGTCATTAATATGGAGTTGCCCCCCCCCCTCCCCCATGGTCATTAATATGCAGTTGCCCCCCCCCATGGTCATTAATATGAAGTTGCCCCCCCCTCCCCCATGGTCATTAACATGGAGTTGCCCCCCCCATGGTCATTAATATGGAGTTGCCCCCCCCCATGGTCATTAATATGGAGTTGCCCCCCCTCCCCCCATGGTCATTAACATGGAGTTGCCCCCCCCCCTCCCCCATGGTCATTAATATGGAGTTGCCCCCCCCCCCCCCCATGGTCATTAATATGGAGTTGCCCCCCCCATGGTCATTAATATGCAGTTGCCTCCCCCATGGTCATTAATATGGAGGTGCCCCCCCCTCCCCCATGGTCATTAATGTGGAGTTGCCCCCCCCCCCCCATGGTCATTTACCACTTGCCGAATGATGGCTACACTGCGGCTGGCCAGTTCTGGGAGGCCGTCATATGATGTCCTCCCAGAACGCGCTCTCCTACGCGCCCCTGGGGGCACAGCTGATCACGTGATGTGGTAAACGGCCAATCAGAGCGGACTTTTACCACGTGATCAACCGTGTCCAATGACACCACAGATCACCGGGAAATGCAATTGCCGGTTCTTGGCTGCACTTTCCTCATGTTGTCAGAGAGCGAGGAAAGTACTGCCGAGATCCGGCAGTTGTCAGAGCGAGGATCGGCACCGATCATCAGGCACTGATGATCAGTGCCCAGCAGTGCCATCCACCAGTTCCACCCACCTGTGCCCAGCAGTGCCACATACCTGTGCCCACCCACATGTGCCCACCAGTGCCACCCACCAGTGCCCATCAGTGCAGCCCAGCAGTGCTGCCAGTCAGTGCCACCAATCAGTGCCCAGCAGTTGCACCAGTCAATGCCTAGCAGTGCCGCCAGTCAGTGCCCAGCAGTGATGCCAGTCAGTGCCACCTATCATTGCTGTCTATCAGTGCCACCTATCTGTGACACCTCATTAGTGCTGCCTATCAGTGCCACCTTATTAGTGCTGCCTATCAGTGTCCATCAGTGCTGCTTCATCAAAGCACAAGCACCAGTAAAGGAGAGAAAAATGACCTGTTTTGAAAAATTTTATAATAGAAACAAAGAAACTTTTTTTTTTTTTTTTTTTCAAATTTTTTGCAATTTTTTTTTGTTTATAGCGCAAAAAGTAAAGTGCCCAGCAGAGATTAAATACCACCAAAAGAAAGCTCTATTTGTGAGAATAAAAATTTATAAAAATTTCGTTTAATGGGTACAATGTTGACCCGCATGAATCACTGACCTGGAGCCGGGAGGCATTAATGATTCAGTTATGACCCCTTTACAATGACCCGTTGGAGTGTTACCCTGGTGAGTTGCCCCCCCCTGCTGTCATGTCTAAAAGTTGTGCGACAGCGCTGAAAGCTGAAAATTGGCCTGGTAAAGAAGGGGTTAGGCAAGTGCCGGGTAGGCAAGTGGTTAACTATGGAGTAGCTGGAGCCGTCCCCCCCCCCCCACTGCTGTCATTGCTGTATATGGAGCTGCCCTCCCCCTACCCACCTCACCATGTACCTTTACTGTTGGGGGGTGACCCCGTTGCTGTACAGGGACCATTCTTAATCTGAGTGAAATGCTTTTCCTGCCTGCAGTAGACTAATGACATCATCTCAGCCAAAGTCACTGACTGGAGCTCAGAGCGAGTTTTAAATGATACAAGGTGGAGTTTTGTTCTGAAAAGTGGTCCTGTTGCTGCATACTGTGACCCGTTGCTGCACACTGTGACCCGTTTCTGTACACTGTGACCCGTTTCTGTACACTGTGACCCGTTGCTGTACACTGTGACCCGTTGCTGTACACTGTGACCGTTGCTGTACACTGTGACCCGTTGCTGCACACTGTGACCCGTTTCTGTATACTGTGACCCGTTTCTGTATACTGTGACCCGTTGATATACACTGTGACCCGTTGCTGTACACTGTGACCCGTTGCTGTACACTGTGACCGTTGCTGTACACTGTGACCGTTGCTGTACACTGTGACCGTTTGCTGTACACTGTGACCCGTTGCTGTACACTGTGACCCGTTGCTGTACACTGTGACCCGTTGCTGTACACTGTGACCCGTTGCTGTAACTGTGACCCGTTGCTGTACACTGTGACCGTTGCTGTACACTGTGACCCGTTGCTGTACACTGTGACCCGTTGCTGTACACTGTGACCCGTTGCTGTACACTGTGACCCGTTTCTGTACACTGTGACCCGTTGCTGTACACTGTGACCCGTTGCTGTACACTGTGACCCGTTGCTGTACACTGTGACCCGTTTCTGTACACTGTGACCCGTTTCTGTACACTGTGACCCGTTTCTGTACACTGTGACCCGTTTCTGTACACTGTGACCCGTTGCTGTACACTGTGACCCGTTGCTGTACACTGTGACCCGTTTCTGTACACTGTGACCCGTTTCTGTACACTGTGACCCGTTGCTGTACACTGTGACCCGTTGCTGTACACTGTGACCGTTGCTGTACACTGTGACCCGTTGCTGCATACTGTGACCCGTTGCTGCACACTGTGACCCGTTTCTGTATACTGTGACCCGTTTCTGTATACTGTGACCCGTTGATATACACTGTGACCCGTTGCTGTACACTGTGACCGTTGCTGTACACTGTGACCGTTGCTGTACACTGTGACCCGTTGCTGTACACTGTGACCCGTTGCTGTACACTGTGACCCGTTGCTGTACACTGTGACCCGTTGCTGTACACTGTGACCCGTTGCTGTACACTGTGACCGTTGCTGTACACTGTGACCCGTTGCTGTACACTGTGACCCGTTGCTGTACACTGTGACCCGTTGCTGTACACTGTGACCCGTTTCTGTACACTGTGACCCGTTGCTGTACACTGTGACCCGTTGCTGTACACTGTGACCCGTTGCTGTACACTGTGACCCGTTTCTGTACACTGTGACCCGTTTCTGTACACTGTGACCCGTTTCTGTACACTGTGACCCGTTTCTGTACACTGTGACCCGTTGCTGTACACTGTGACCCGTTGCTGTACACTGTGACCCGTTGCTGTACACTGTGACCCGTTGCTGTACACTGTGACCCGTTGCTGTACACTGTGACCCGTTGCTGTACACTGTGACCCGTTTCTGTATACTGTGACCCGTTTCTGTACACTGTGACCCGTTGCTGTACACTGTGACCCGTTGCTGTACACTGTGACCCGTTACTGTACACTGTGACCCGTTGCCGTACACTGTGACCCGTTTCTGTACACTGTGACCCGTTTCTGTACACTGTGACCCGTTGCTGTACACTGTGACCCGTTGCTGTACACTGTGACCCGTTGCTGTATATTGTGACCCGTTGCCGTACACTGTGACCCGTTGCCGTACACTGTGACCCGTTGCCGTACACTGTGACCCGTTGATATACACTGTGACCCGTTGCTGTACACTGTGACCCGTTGCTGTATATTGTGACCCGTTGCTGTACACTGTGACCCGTTGCTGTACACTGTGACCCGTTGCTGTACACTGTGACCCGTTGCTGTACACTGTGACCCGTTGCTGTACACTGTGACCCGTTGCTGTATACTGTGACCCGTTGCTGTACACTGTGACCCGTTTCTGTACACTGTGACCCCTTGCTGTACACTGTGACCCATTTTCTGTACACTGTTCTATGATGTTAGCAATGTATTCCTGCAGATTTGTAAAGTTACTGAAAGCTTCATTGTACCATTTGTGGCCTAATAGCCCCGTCTCCCGTATCTTGTATCCCGTCTCCCGTATCCCCTCTCCCATATCCCGTATCCCGTCTCCCGTATCCTGTCTCCCATCTCCCGTATCCCATCTCCCGTATCCCGTCCCCCGTCTCCCGTATCCCGCCTCCCGTATCCCATCTCCCGTATCCCGTCTCCCATCTCCCGTATCTTGTATCCCGTCTCCCGTATCCCCTCTCCCATATCCCGTATCCCGTCCTCCGTATCCTGTCTCCCATCTCCCGTATCCCATCTCCCGTATCCCGTCCCCCGTCTCCCGTATCCCGCCTCCCGTATCCCATCTCCCGTATCCCGTCTCCCATATCCCCTCTCCCATATCCCGTATCCCGTCCTCCGTATCCTGTCTCCCATCTCCCGTATCCCATCTCCCGTATCCCGTCACCCCCCCGTCTCCCGTATCCCGCCTCCCACCTCCCATATCCCATCTCCCGTATCCAGTCTCCCATCACCCATTTCCCGTATCCCGTCTCCCGTATCCCATATCCCGTCTCCCATATCCCCTCTCCCATATCCCGTATCCCACCTCCCGTCTCCCGTATCCCGCATCCCATCTACCGTATCCCGTCTCCCATCTCCCCTCTCCCGTATCCCATATCCCGTATCCCACCTCCCATCTCCCGTATATCCCGTCTCCCATATCCCGTATCTCGTCTCCCGTATCTCGTCTCCCGTATCTCGTCTCCCGTATCTCATCTCCCGTATCCCATATCCCGTCTTCCATATCCCATCTCCCGTCTCCCATATCCTGTCTCTACCATATTTCGTCTCCCGTATCTCGTCTCCCGTATCTCATCTCCCGTATCCCATATCCCGTCTCCCATATCCTGTCTACCATATCCCGTATCCTGTCTCCCATATCCCGTCTCCCGTATCCCATATCCCGTCTTCCATATCCCATCTCCCGTCTCCCGTATCCCGTCTCCCATATCCCGTATCCCGTCTCCCGTATCTCGTCTCCCGTATCTCCATCCCTCCCGTATCCCGTCTCCTGTATCCCGTCTCCTGTATCCCGTCTCCCGTATCCCGTCTCCCGTATACTGTATGTAGGTCAGACCTGCACATCCCCCGCTCGGCATAATCGCCCGTTTAATCTTTCCATCGTATTGATCAATAGGCCGAATCTTCAGAAAAAGCTGCTAAACTCCGAGAGAAGTTGGTGTAACTCAGCTCTGTGCCCCCCGTGACCCCGATCAGAAACATTCCGCATTCTATCAGAGAGACGCGCCGGA